CGACTCATACCCTCTCTGCTTCAGTTACTAAATGGGTCAAAAAATGCTCTCTTATATTGGTCACCTTGTAAGCGGGTTCCGTATGAAGTCGACTAAAGTTGTCGGTAATCAACTTTTGATCCAGACATCTCTGTTAACTATAAAAATTAAGAAATAACAACCTGACAACCATTCTGTAACTCGATCATTGAGTGTACGGTTTTGATCGGTTTTTACAATCAAAACAAAAGGCTTGAAACGACATACGAATCTACTTTTTCTTTTCTAATCATTTCTACGTATAAAAGTCAAAGTAAAATTTATTTTAAAATCATGTCTTTTTTATTATTATAAGAGGTAAAAAAATTAATTTTTTTAGAGGCCATGTTGTACCATCGAGGCTATAAATCCATAAAACAAGTAATAAATAAAATAAAATACAAATAAATTCATACCATATATTATATTAAGTGATTGTTTGTTTACCTCTTAATGGTTCCATTAAAAGATAGCCTCTAAATCGTTAAGAGATGAATCTTGTTTGACAAAAAAAATGTCTCTTAATGACTCTAAAACCCTCTAAATAATTTTGTATCTTGGGTTTCCTTTAACCATTCAGCACCATAATTTCATTGTAAATAATTATATTTCATTTTGCATTTTATCATGAGAGTCTCTTAATCATTTTGAACATTTAATCAATCTACATCAAACCATTCAGCAACTGGTAAACAGCCTCTAAGAGTCTTACAAATCAAAATAACCAAAATGTTTTAAAATAACAAAGTAACGTAAAAGGACTTGAATAAAAATCATTCTTCTACCATATACAATTGGGTAACTGTTTTTTGAAGGTCTGTTTCATATGACACATTGGAACACCCTCTGCAACTGCCCTAACCATATCGTTCTTCAGTGGCGTGTAGTTCAGTTGACAAAAGGGCAGATCGACTTTACTCAAATACAAGATAGGCCCCGGTCCCAATCCTGGACCACTCCCGCTATCCTCGGCCACTGTACGAACTAAATGAAAATTCTCTCACGTTGATGTGTTTAAAAACAGGTCCCATACAGAATCAATTGAAATTATCAGTAATCATAACCTTTTGAAAAATAAAAGAAAATGTCAGGTTTATGTTGAGATGAAGAGTAATATTTACAAGCGTTCGAATTATTTGCATGTGATTGTGAAATATAAGAGGTATGTCGACTGTCTAATTGCTAGGATTCCTTGATAGACAAATTCAACCCTTCAACAATCCTAAATTACATTTCACCCCCTACCCTAGGGGTGTTAAACATTCCAATGTTTAACGAACTGCTCAATTTCAAGCTTAATAATTTTCAAACTCGAACTGATCAATACAAATAAAGTTCGTTCAACTTAATCAGTCGAATTTCATAACATCGATTTTTGACTCAATTTGTTCGAAAACTCGGTTAGTTTTTTCGAGTCAAATCGAGCCATACAACCGAATATTTTCAAACTGAAATATATGTTTAGAAAATATACAATCAAAATATAAAATTTGAACTGTACGAACGAATTAATTGATCTCGAGTTTAGACCTATAAATGAACTTATAAAACTTAGATTTTATGTCATAATGTGTAATTCAAAATTGTTAAACGGACATAGCTCTTAACCATTTAAAAAATATATTCAAGCTTGAGCATATTTTGAAAAAAGTATTCTGAGTTTCAACATATTTTTGAAAAAACTATTCGAGATCGAACATGATGCCAAACCCACCGCATAATGACGTTAGATTTAGAGTAAGCAACAAATAGAGGTCGACAAGATGGAGGGGGTATCGAGACAGGTCTATGACATGTGTAAAACTTCATTAGATTTTTTTTCAAAAGAGCCCTTAAAAAAAAAGAATGAATGTTCCAATTAGACTTGTTCATGGGCGGGACGACCCGTTAGACCCGGCCTATACGGCCCGCTCGAAATACGGGCTTGGACAACCATTTCGATAAAATGGACGGGCCCGGGTTTGTTCGTTAAAATTAACGGGCGGACATGGACAATGTAAAAAATATAAATGGACAGACCCCGAGCCGTTTATGCTTTATAATTAATATTTTTTACGGACTTTTTGATTTTCTTTGAGAACCCAAAAGGCTCTACATTATCTTTGTTAGCATCCTTATGTCAAAAGTCCTAATCGATCAACAATGTATAGAGTCAGTAGTTGCTTAAAGTTTTAATTGCAACAATGTTTTTCCTTCACTTTTTGGTTCAACATTTGTTAATTAAGAGTTACACTTTTTAGACCCGTTAGTCTGTGGGCAAAGCCAGCCCGTTTATAGGGCAGACAAAGGCAAGTTGTCAAGCCCCAAAAAAAGGGCTTGGGTTTACAATATTAGGTCACTTGGACCCCAAAAAAATTGACCCGACCCAAGCCCGGCCCGGGCCCACAAATGAACACCTCTAGTTCCAATATATAACGATGAGAAATCGTCCATGTCTAGCCAATATTAGTCCCTAGAGTGGTAGTAGACCTTGTTTTGATACCATGTGATATATGTAGAACCCTGTTGGATTACTCTCGAGAAAAGCTCTTGACAAGAAAAACATTGACGAAAAATTGTCTAAGTCTAACTGATGCAAAGTATGGGGACTAGACCACTCAAAAGACTGATTCACCGGTGTCAAAAGCTTAAAATGAACAATCCTACATTTCTAGTAAGTCAACATGAACATTAAGGGAAAAAAAGAACAATATATACCAATTCCAACAGACATCAAGACTGAAATAGACAACGATTTTAACAAATTAAAATCAATGAATAACATTAGAACGAATCATCGTTAACTCATACAGAAGACCGGAAAAAGTGTGTTTACTCGACACCAACCCTATGTTTGAAACAACACGATCCTTATCCCTCAAGTTACGTATCAATCTTTAGTAGAAGACCATAATGTTAGCATTATGATCCATTCAAGATTCATAACAACACATTAATCCAAGGATCCATTGTAAACACGGATTGGGCAGGTGCTCCACTCCTACCAGGGCGGCAACGTTTATTGGTGTCAAGAGGTCAAGTAAACAACACTATCTTTTATCTGGTAAGCAATGCTTACTCAGTAAGAGGCTATAAGCACTTAATAAACCATAAGCCACTTGCATCACACATCAGTTTAAAAGGTTTTGTCCGATCTAGAGTTACCACAACAGGAGCTGAAATCAAAGTTCTTTTTTTCTTTCCAAAATGTTAAAAGCATTTCCACAAGCCTCATTGAAATCAAACTAACAATGAATAGAGGTTTTGAGATCTTTGAGAAGTCTTTTATAAATCTTCTGTAAAATCCAGCATGCATGTGGACAGCGATAGCAGGGGTGCGATCCCAGATCCAAGAGCGACACACGCAAACGTTTTCTCACATGTAGAACCGATATCATCACTTTGTATTTTTATCGGTTGGGAAGAGACAAGAGAGACTTTCTTCCCTATTATTGAATGACCCATTAGCTAAATTTGAATTGCATCATAATAATTTTGATAGCACATGCCACTGCACAATGAGCACAAAATTTCTAATAATGATACTAGAGACATATATTCTTTTTGATTCCATGACAAAATGTTCCTTCCATATCTAGATATCGAGTTTAAGAAGTTACCCAAAAATACGTTACACCGACAAGCATATAATTTAAGACCAAATAATTTCATCACTAGCTCCCTTAGGTCGATTATTTAGGAGAATAATGTTCTGACGTATCTCTGACAGATTCCGAGGCATTTTTCTATTAGGCAGACATTTCTTAAATCGATCATGCAATTAAGAATAAATTTTTCATAATGTTGTTCTCCTAAATAATCCCTCCTAAGTTCTAGGCAAGCAAAACTTTGTAAAATGGTATCAATGACTATTAGGTAGAGACGTTAAGTCTGTTAAAAGGTCAATGCATTTGAGAACAAATTTGTCAGAATGTTATTCGCTTAAAATAACCCCTCCTAAGTTCTACTGTTCTAGGCAAGCAAAATTGTGCAAAATAATACCAATGACTGTTAGGTAGAGGCGTTAAATCTGTTAAAAGGTAATGCATTTAAGAATAAATTTGCTTGATAACTATTCTCTTAAATTACCCCTCAGTAGGCAAGCAAAAATGTGAAAAATGGTAGCAATGATGTCTATGAAGGGTAAATATGGAAAACTGCTGACGTGGAGAAGAGTCATAAGACCCCATTTCATATATGATATTGTCTAAGAAGCAAGACTAGAAGCAATAATATATGATGAACCAATACTTAAAATTGCAAACTAGTACATGTCTTTATTGGAAGTATATATACAGAGACTTTGCATTATGTGAGAACAGGTTGTTTTCACAAGACTCGTGAGACCACATAAATAACACTAAGCCTTTACAGTAAAACATTCTGAAGGTAAACCTTCACAGTGTTTTTGCTGTGAAGGTTCGGTGTTCTTTGCTATGAAGTTTCAGTGTTATTTTGTGGTTGGCCTCACGAAAATAGTTTGGTCTCACGTAAACCCAACCCTATACATATAGATAGATAGATGGAGTTCAAACAAGAACAGTAACTAAATAAAAGAACACAAAAACGGCTAAATCTAGTGCAAAATCATATGTGATTTTACTTAAACAGTCAACGTAAAGGTGTGCCGGAGACGTGGTCTGCAGCCTCACTTGCGACCATAGTCGTGCGTCACATGTGGTTTCACACATGATTTTAGTGTAAAATCACATGTGATTCGACCGTTTTCTTATTCCTTATTTGGTTAATATTCTCGTATGAACCTGACTCTCTATGTATATAATATAAAAACAAAACTCACACACATAACGCACCTTTGGTGAGACTTGAACACTTGACCTCCACATGGATTGGGATCTGCCGGTAATCGTTGAGCCAATGACCCTTTGGTAGAACTGTCTTAACTTTCCAGAAACCAAGCTGGGAAATAAGTGAAAGTTCTTCAGTTTAATGGACAAAAAGTGCATATTGGTGTCAAAAAGTTAAATTTAAATGTACTGAAATGCAATAAAAATCTCAATTCTCTTCATCATTAAGGTCTTGTTTACTGCCGTTACCTATAAATAATATCAAGCACAAATGGTTGTTCATATGCATACATAAGTTTTACTAACGTAACTGTTTGCATTCTACAAAGTGCAAATTGAAGGGTCAAAAACCATGGATGACAGACCACCCTTCTTTAAACTCGGTCACAGGTTCATAACACTTGGTGGTCGGTACTACTGACCATTAGCTATAACTAACTAAACCAAAACACATGAAGTGTGACAGCCAATAGCTTTCAGAAGAGCTGACTCAGTATTTGCGAGCCGGTTTCTGGGTCGGCAGCAATCCAAAACGCTTCTTCAAGAGAACCCTCTGCCTCGAGAATTTGTCATCAGGTGAAAACCGGGCTGCAGTTGGAAGAAAACTCAAATCATGTAAAATCACACACAAATCCAAGCACTAAAAATGTTAAAGGTCAACTGGGCCTTGGGGCTACTCCGTCTCCGGTGTCTCTTCAAAGCCTCTAGGTTACAGCGATCAAAACATGAAATCGCGGTCAGGACCTTGATTTGAAATAGCGGTTAGCGCGATGGTAAAGCGGTGATATAGCGGTCAAAAAATAGCGGTTCATATAATAGTTAAAATCATATATATGCATACATAACTCAACATATTTTGTGTTCAATAAAAATATATATAAGAGTAATGATGTCCAAGTCCAAATAAAAATAGTTGAACAACGTGAATACTCTAATTCAAATCAAGAGGTCAAAGTGATGGTGTCCAAATCCAAAAAAACAAGAATAATGGTGTCCCAAGTTCAAAAAAATGAAAATGTGTCCTAGTCCAAAAAAATAAGAATAATGAGGCCTTGATATTGTCGGACTAAAATAAAACCGGATGCAAGTCCTAAATAAAAGCCCACAAAATTACTTTTTTAACACCATAAAAGCCTATCTACAAACAGCTGTTATGCGGCTGCTTTTTTGCATTCAAAATGTGGTCATTTAGCAGTCAACGCTAATCGCGGAACCATTATTTCAGACCGCTATTTGTGCCCATGACCGTTAACCGTGATGGCACCGCTATAATGGTGCGATTAGCAGCATAGCACTAGAGAAATCAAGGCTATTAACTTCAGGGGCATGGGATCCGTCGAGGTGCACGCAAATTGACACGGACACCCACGGCCACAGTTACCCAGAAAAAAGAATATCCAAGCACCAAGAATGCTGTTTATTTTTTATTTTGGGACTGAACATGTTTAGGATCCTTTCCAATCAACTCTTTGATATTCTTGCCATGATGCACAAATGGACAAGTAAAAACAGAGACTTGATACTCAAACAAGCCACATGAGTCGGAAGTCCAAAAGGGACCAAGCACATACCACATTCTATGTTGTTGAAGGCACATGCAGGGAACATATACATAAAGGGTACGTTCGGACTCGATGAGCAAGATTGAGGTAGGCAGGTAAGAGAATTGTGCAAGGTTTTAGAGTTTTAATTTGACATGGGTAGTTTAGTAATTTATCAATCTTTTTTATTGTTCCACCTACTTTGGTGGGACAAAAGAATGCATTTTTTTGTCCCTATCAGTTGTGTCATGTCCCGGTCTAAATGACGCATCAAACGTGGGACAAGAAGTTTTTGTTCTCTCATGCCTCCTAACATCCCGTGTACCAAATGCACCCAATACAAGCAAGAAAACATACCAGGATGAGCTGACTGTGTGGCCAATCCAAGTGGTGATTCTTTCTGCACACCAACAAAAAACGACACAATAAGATCGATCGCCTAAAATCTATTTTACATAATGCATGAACAGATATCACTATAAAGCAGCCTAAGGCTTTATAGATACCTACATACTGATAGATGCATTTGTTAACAGAGAAGAGAATGAGAAGAAACAGTCAAAAATCACACGTTGAAGAAATGACGAAGAGATCAATTTGCTGCAAGTTAATCGTGCAAACATGCAATCTAATGCAGAAACATAACAGATTGATGGACTGGAAATACAATTACACAAACATGGATGCATAAATCATGCTACATTGCCTTAAATAAATTTATGTGCAGGATAAATTAAATTTGCGGTTCAAGTGCCATTCAAGTAAGCAAACAACTTACATATTCTCCATTTAAACATCATAAGTTCATTATTTTGCACCTGGCTTGTCAATAAATCCATATTTGATCATATGCCTCTTGATTTCCCAATAGAAAGTGGAAACTGGAGATACTGAGAAAACAATGCAAGAACCATCTTGATGGTTGATTTCCAATATTTTATTGCAATGAACAGACGAGAGAATAGGAGTTGTTATGAAGGATTTCAAGAATGTGTTGAGCACTACAAATTTGTTAGATAGTATATTTTATGTACTTCCATCAATTAGTCTTTAGCATTGGTAATATGCACAAAACTGACGAAATATGAAACCTTCAGACCCCATTTTTTCGCAACACTTGCCTATAAATGTAAACAAAGTCGTGATTTTTGTTTGATAACAAATCAATACCCTCCATTTAAACAAAGCTTTGATTATTGGGTTTGAAATCTCAACTAAAGTCTAATATTCGGCATGTTTTTTGTAAACCATGAAAACATCAATATCAAGTTTACAATTACAACTCTTGTCTATAATAATTTAGACTCATCAATTTCCCAAAAATGTAAGCACTTGTCAAACACAGTTTTGTGTCTAGTTTACACTCCTTTATATTGTATCACTAAAACAAAAAACAAAAGGCTACCAAACAGACCTTGTGTTCTTCTTGTTTTTACCTTTCAGCATTTTCATTGTTTGGGTTCCATTTATAAAATGCAAACAGAAATGGGAATTTGATTCCATTTAATTGATGGGACAGGAATGAAGATGAGACACACAAACTTGAAAACAGATGAAAATCATAAAAACAATTGGAACCTTAGTAACTTTGTATAAATAATCTGTTAGTCACAGTGAGCTACCATTCTGCTTGGTAGAAAAAAATTCAAAATAACTGCCTCTACAACTTGTATTGTTTAAAGATGCAAATACCCATTTATAAACAAACAGACCAAGTTAGGATGTATCATCATGATTTCACAACCAAGTTCGAAAGAATGAAATCAAGTTCACCAAAAAAGAAACATAAGTCGAACTACTAACACTGTAACACAAACTCCTGCAGCAAATGGAACAGGGAAAAGAAACATGACAACTTCAAAAAGGGGCAAAAGAAATACAAATTATTGCAAATAAGTACCAACTCTTTTAAGAACAAGAATGCCTTAAAAGAACGAACCTTAGTGGTGTAAACTTTGTCACCATTTTCGTTTATGTAAAACTGGAGATACATCTTGGTTCAGTATACTGCAAGAACCACAAGAGCATGAGGTCAATATCAAAATCAGACTCGGATACACAAATTATAAGAACATCACCCACCGGTCGAGGTGGGAAGCGATTCATTCTAGCCAAACAAACAAAATAGCAGAAACCTTGTGCAAAAGTTGATGCAGCTATCAAAATTTTCCATGTAACAAATACAAATCTTAGCAATTTTAAATTCCACATTTCCAATGCATAAAAACTGATGATTTTGCTTCTTATTTACCAGAAGAACGACCCTCTTAGCTGAAAAAATCTCAAGAACAAACAACGCAGCGCTAGCAAGGTTTAATCAAACACCTCTATGATTGTCTATCAACAACGTCCCAAAAATTTAAGCATTTTAATCGGAAACAGACGAGCCAGTAACCAAAAGGATAGTACGTGAAACAGAATATTTTGGGGAAGAAATAAGAAACTACCTTGATTCGCCGGAGGGGAACGACGACGGTCGAACAGATGTCTTCCGATGGTAGACAACGGCAACGAATTCTAGGGTTTTTCTTGGGGTTTTAGGGCTTTATAGTTTATATGATCGATAACCCGCAATAAAATAAAAGCAGATTGAACCCTGAACTTTGTACTAATTCCAATTTGTATCCTTGTACTTTGAAAATATCCACTAGTGAAATAAAATAATTTTTATTTTTCCATTTTTTGTGATCTACGTATAAATTAAGAATAAACAAATTTTAGTGTAAACTACAAATTTGGTTCTCGTGGCTTGTAAAAAATAACATTGTCTATCATTACAAAGAGATGTTTGTTTACATCTTAATGGTGTCATTAAGATGCAGCATCTGAATCGCATAGAGGTAAGAGTTATTTGGCAAAAAAAATTAAGTCTCTTTTAATGGTACCAATATCCTCTAAACGTTTTTCATCTAGGGTAAAGCTAAATGGTTCATAACTCTTTTCTTCCACATTCGCCCTTTGAACATCGGTCTCCCACCTCCACACTATCGCCTCCAAAGTTGAGAGCCTCCCAACGCCCGATCCCTCTAGTTCATATCTGATGATCCTTCCTCCCAGCGTCTGCTCCCGTGACGGTCTGCTCTCCGTCGAGTTCTAGGTATTTTTGCTTCTGTTTATCGTTGATTTCTTTGTTTGTTACCATCGAGTTCTTCTTCTATTTATCATCGATTGATAGTTGATTTTTGCTTCTGTTTATCATCAATTTATGCTTTTGTTTGTCATCGATTTATAGTCAGTTTGTGCTTATCGATTTATGCTTTTGTATATCATAGATTTCTGCTTTTGTTCAGTTTCTTTTTGTGTTTATCATATGCACCTGTCGGAATCAAAGGATGGTGCTCTTGGTGTCGCACCCAAGTCAAATTTTGGTCAAGACCTGCACTTGTTGGAATCAAATTTCTGTTTAAGATATGCACCTTTTCTTTTGCCTCAAACAAAAATACCCAAGTCAATTCTGGTTAAAAAGCCTGTATTGGCTCCATTGTTTTTAGTTTGGTTAATAGCAAGAGGAAATTCACAGTACTGTGACCACAATAATTTTTTTCTATCAAATGGATGAAAACATTGGAGTTGATTTGGACCATAATCCTCAAACCTTCTGTCAACTTGTTTGGATTAATAGGAAATGTTGTTTTGAATTTAATATTATTGAGTATGTAGTTATATTTGCAAAGTAGTTGTTTATTCAGTTATTTACCAAACAACTATATTTCATTTAGAAATAAATCCTACAGAGAGTTAAAATGGTAATTTGTTATCATTCAGATTGTCCATTCTGAACATTTACCAAACAACCATATTTCATTATACACTATATCATACATAGTCTCTTAAGCATTCTGACAATTTAACCATTTTGTATTAAACCATTCAGCCATTGTCAAACAACCCCTAACTTGATTGAAATATTTTTTCCTAAGAGAAGAAAAATATTTTAAATAACTTGTAATCTTAGTCTGTTTCGATCTTTCTGGAGATTTTATACATAAAAACGACTTAAATCTTTGATAATTCTTTATACTAAGGCCATCATTTATTTCTTATATCATCCCTTGACATCTCCCAATCTTATCTCACTTCTACCCTCCAGATTCTTGACTTCTATAACATTCCTGGTTCAGCCACTGTCTTTCATACCAAGTAAGAGATGCTTACCAACAATCTATTTTAGTAGCCGAGAATTTACCTGATAAGTAAGTAAGGATAGTAAGGGGTCGTTTACCAAATGGTTACTCGGATAAGCGCTTATCAAGTCACATTCTTTTACCAAATTAATATGACAAAGACCAAGAATCTTACCTGGTAAGAGCGAAGGCACGAACCGAGAGTTTTACCCGGTAAGTGGTGGCAACGACTCTTACCACGGTTATCACTTACTAGGTAAATTGTTATATACGTAGTCGTTTTTGTAGACTAAAATATTACCCGATAAGTATGCAATAGAGTTGAAATTTACCGTTAAGCGCTTACCGGATAAGTGTTTAGGTAAACGGCCCCTAACTCTTGCTAGTAAACATTTACTCAAAAAACGCGTGATAAGTCGACCCTTACTTTAAAGGGAGGTTCAATAGAACACAAAAAGAGTTTTTTTTTTAAAAGGATCCTTATCGATGATATGAAAGGTTCAAATGTAACTGTGCTGAAAACCGTGAATTTTATTTTTGACAAAATACAACCACGCATGTTATTCACAATAATTAAAATAGGTAGAGGTTCGGATAAATGCCCTTATTTTTTTTAAATGTCTTCTCTTCAACTAACACAGGGGTGTAAATGATTTGAGTTTTTAACGAGCTATTCGAAGTCAAGTCAATCTTGAACACAAAATAAAACTCGTCCAACTTAACGATTCGAGTTTCATAACACCAATGTTCGACTCGACTTGTACGAAAACTCGATTAATTTTTTATCACTCGAGCTGACTTGAGCCATTCGAGCATACACTTTTTCAAACCAAACATACCTATATGCTCATAAACCACACACTAAAATATTAAAATTATCGAGCTCGAACCAATAAACGAGTTAATCAATAGGTAGCTTGAACCCATAAATGAGCATCGAGCTTGATAATTCAAAAAAATCCTTGAACCCTATTTAAAAATATATATATTTGAGCTTGAGTCTGGTAGTATTTTTCAAGCCGAGCTCAAATAACCTACTGTTTAACCCGACATGGTTCCTTTGCATCCATAAAGGAACCCTACTGAGTATATATACAGGGGCAAACCTATAGGGTTCGATGGAATCCGGCGGAATTTGAAGGAATTGGAATATTCGAGTTTCATTATCGCGTTTGGTTCATTCTTTGAGTTTTGGTAAGGAATTCAAATTCCACATTCTTAGGTTCTAGCAAAAAAAAATTCAATTCTTTCGTACCATCTTTTAAGAAAAAAAAAACTATTATACACTAATAATACTCAATTCCATTCCATCGCACCACGATGGATGTCATCACCCTTGCCACTGGCACCGCCACCTCCAGCATCGTCATCACTGTCGCCAGCACCGTCGCATGACTCGCATTCACCCCCACTGCCACCACCGCAGTCGCTGCCACCATCACCACCACTTTCTCCATCGCATCTACCTCCAACGCGCCATCATCATCGTTACAATTGTTGCCTTCACCCTCACTACCACCAACACCACAGTCATCACCACCCCTACCATCTACACCACTACCGCCTCCAATCCACCTCCACTATTATATTCAATGAACCAACTAGACAAATTTTATTTTTTTGACAGATTTTATTTTAATTCCTATGAACCAAATGCATGATCAAACATGATTAAATTTCATTCCAATTCCTTCGTATTCCAATTTCTTTGACAAATTCTTATATGTGAACCAGATACCACCTTGGTAACCACAAGAGTGGTACCTGATTGGTTTGAGCTTGGCTTCAAAGGTTAAAAGGACCAGGAGGTCTCAGATTCAAATCCAAGGAGGAATAAAAATCCACTTATGGCCATAGAGGTTCAAATGCGGTGACTCCGAGCTATCTGCAAAACAGATGATCGTCCTGTATTAGTCCGCTCCCATAACAGTTGGATACCCTGGTTAATAAAAAAATAAAAAAATACGACCTTGGTTTTCATTGTATCAAGTTCCGTAACCGGTCGAAAGCCAAGGTAGCGCGGCCTGCGGGGTGTTCTTATCTACGAAAAACCACACGCACTCGACACTTCAAACCCACGTCTCCCCCACCACTCTCATTGAATATAATATACTATCTTCCTTTCTCGATCTCCGATTCTTCAATCCTACGTTGTTGCAGATTCAATTTTCTCCTTCCCTTTGTTCTTTTGGAGATTTCGATCACTTCAACCTCCACAAAATCTGCATTAATTTTCTAGTTGAATTTGGTATCACATTGTCAATCGCAGCAGAACAACAACAAGCGATGTCGTTCGAGTTGGAGGAAGAAGAATCCTTCGAGCACACGTTACTAGTTGTTCGAGAAGTTTCTGTTTTCAAGATTCCGCCGCGTTCCACTAGTGGTGGTTACAAGTGTGGAGAGTGGCTACAGTCGGATAAGATCTGGTCTGGTAGGCTTCGTGTTGTTTCCTGTAAGGATCGGTGTGAGATCCGATTGGAAGATCCGAATTCTGGAGATTTGTTTGCGGCTTGTTTTGTTTATCCTGGTCAGAGGGAGAACGCGGTGGAGTCGGTGCTTGATTCGTCCAGGTATTTTGTTTTGAAGATCGAGGATGGGACTGGGAAACACGCGTTTATAGGGTTAGGGTTTACGGAGAGGAATGAGGCGTTTGATTTCAATGTGGCCTTGTCGGATCATGAGAAGTATGTGAAGAGAGAGACAGAGAAGGATGCTGGTGAACCGAGCGACGAGAGTCATATCAATATCCATCCTGCTGTAAATCATAGATTGAAGGTATCATCACTTGTTTTCCATCTCTGCACATAAGATTTCATGGTTAAGATTTCCAAACTAGTGACTGAAATTTACTAATTCCTACAAGTTTAGAAACTTAGGTAGTTTTTTCAAGCATCGAATGTGATGATAGAAATGGATTTGGAGCTCGTTTAGCTCAATATGTTCAACAATTATGGTAAATTTAATTTAGAACGCATGAAAGTTATTCAGTGATTAGAGTCACGCTTAAATTTCATAGACCATGCTGATCTGTGAACGTTGTTGGTGTTTAGTAACTAGTAAGTAGAGACAAAGGGAACCTAATGCCTGCTGGTTTGTGGTTGGTTTCAAAATAAGGGTTCAGTTGCTGGAAGTTAGATGATAAGTATCATGTGTCATATACTCATGGCATATGCAATGAAAAGCTTTATTGGTTATAGAATCCTGGTGGCAATGACCAAGTTTCGTCTGTGTAATTCTACAATTGTGTATGTAAAAGTTGACAAGAAGATGCTGGTTAATGTGATGATCGAATAATAAGGAAACCAATGTCACCAATTTGTATAGAAAATTTTATCTGTGAACAGTGTGACAAAGAAGTCACGCTTAGGAAGAGAGTAAGAAATAAGGGTTACTCTGCGATTGCAGCATGGTAGCTTAGTCTTGGGATGCGTGTATGATGTTAGCTCAGCACTGGCTGCTGGATACAACAGGACCTCTGTGTTTAGACAAGCTATGTGAACCAGGTTGGAGAAAAACCATATGAATTAAATACAGAACATGTTAAAGCCGGTAAGCAGTAAATATAGCTTGCCTATTAGCATACTATGCTTAAGTTCATAAGTACTAACTAAAGTTGATCAAAGCTGATTTCATGATTCCCACATGTGTAAACAGAATTGTTAAGTCAAACAAAAATGGGAATGGTTAGCTTGGCTGGTTTTATGTCTTCCTAAATTTGTTGAATGAACATCATGATGTGATACCTCAGCCGTTGTGTTTCGCATTTATCAGAGATTGCTAACTTTAGTTGTTACTTAATATAGGAAGGTGAAACAATTCGGATCACTGTAAAAAATAAACCTGCTAGTGGAGCTGGGATGCTTTCGGCTGCTGGATTGTCTGGGGGTGCTGCTGGAACTGAAAAGATCAAGCCACTAAGTCTTGCTCCTCCACCTGTTGCCTCCACAAAACTTAGACCTGCTGAAACTGAGAAGCTTAAGCCTCTCAGCCTTGCTCCTCCACCTAATGCCTCTGGGAAGATCAGGTCTCCTATCCCACCCCCACCCAATGATCCTGCTGTTGTTCGGATGACTTCTACTAGTCAGAATGTTGCTGTCAAAACACACAAGGAAACCACAAGGCAGTCTACAGATGCTTTCACTGATTTCTCTCAGCTCGAGGTATCTTTTATCAGTTGATCCTCTCTGCTATACCCTTCAAAATCTTAATTCTAGCTTGGATCATTTTATTTTGTGCTTAATTGGTTGTTCACTCTAAGGCACATTGATTACAGTAGAAACTGTTGGAGTCAGTACTTCGCCTAAACTTGGACCATTTCTACACCATATAGCGGATCCAGAAATTTTGGTAATGGGTGTTGGAATTTGAACTTATAAGTTTTTGAGGGTCAAAAGAAGAAATATATTTATAAAAAATAAAAATTTTAATATAAAAAATGAAAATTTTGAAAATTTATATTACGTGTAGATCCTCCTATGAATTATATGTTGCAACTTCCCCTCTCTCCATAATAAGAGAGTAATCTGATGGGTTCTATGTATTCTGACATAATCAAATAACTCTCATGGCATTGCGAATTTAGGGGACGTTTACCAAAGGCTTGTAAGTGCTTACCGGCAAGAGCACTACCCTTACTTACCTTATCGGGTAACATTCATGGCCATCAAAATGGATTGTTGGTAAACGTCTTTTACCCGGTAAGTGCTTACCGGGTAAGAGTCTTCTTCCTCACTTACCAGGTAAGATTCTCGATCAATGATATGCTTCTTACCGGGTAACATTCTAGGTTCTTGCCATGCTCACTCGAAAGTTAAGCGACACCCGATAAGCATTTGGTCAACGGCCCCTTAGTCTTAAGTCTTAACATGTTAAAAGGTGTGTGTGTATTGCAATTTGCATGTTCACTAAAATGATATAAGCTAAAACACCAATAACTACATTTGAAAGTGTACTTTTTCCCTCCTTTGTAAATCATTTCCCCAACTTCTAACCTAACAACAAAGTGTTCACCAATGCCTGTCCAACATTTCCATTTTATTTCTATCGTAATATGCATTCGTAATTTCATATAGCTATAATGTGATCGATGGAGGATTTTTACATCAATATGAACTATTTAGATGCAAAAGGGAATATTGCCTTCGTTAGTCTAGCTCATCATTTACCGTCATTTCTCCACCACCACCCATGCATCAAGTATCAAACCTACAAGGTTCTAGACGGTGCATTTGTCATACTGATAGGACTGGCCAGGACATGTGTGAGTGGAAGGTTTTAGGGTTTTAATTTGATATGGGTAATTTAGTAATTTACCAAACTTGTCCAATCTCCTCGATTTTTGTTTCATCTATTTCAGTGGGACAGAAAAATGCATTTTTGTTTCACTCAAACTTGTCTAGTCACGTCTAGTCTTATTAACGGGAGACGACAAGTCTTTGTTCAGTTCTGTCTAGTGTACCAAACGCACCCAAACAAAACAAAATTTGTTGTTTTTAAATTTTATATCCCTGAATGCAGAGAAACCTTCCTTCCACGGGTGGATCTGGATCAACTCAAAGTAAAACCACAGCAGCCGGATGGGCAGCATTTTGAGAGAGGTATATTTTCGTTCCGTTCTGTTCTGTTCTGTTCCGTTCCGTTCTGTTATGTTGGGAAAAGCAGAGTAGATACAACAAAGGTACGATACTATCGGTTATTGCAAATAATTGTAACTGGAATATATTGATTCAATGTGCTTGACCTTGTATTTCATATTTATTACATGTTGTACAATTCTGTGCCCACCAATTTCAATCTAGTCTTAAGATCTTGTGTTGTTCCAACTGCTGCATTCATTGTGAAGCTAACTTTTACTTCTAAGATCTCCTCTTTTCTGACTGCTGCATTCATTGTGAATATAACCAACCACCCACCACGGTAATTTCTTAGCAATTTATCAAGTTACACCTAAGATTTTTTAATATGGTGATTGTGAGGATGATTTCTTAATTTAATAAATAAATTAACATTATATTTGATTTTTTTTTGTAGTTTTAACATTTAATAAAGGTATTGTGTTTAAATTAATGTTTTAACATTTATTACATGTGTGTTTGATACGTTTTTCTGTTTTTTTATTAATAAATTAAATAAATTAAAAAGATTCAACTCTTTTTAATGCATAATATARACACTTACGTATTGAATCGTTCTCTTTTATAAATTAAATTAAAACATTTTATTTAACTAATTTATTTTACTTTATAGTATTTATTTATTTAATAAATTATTTCGTGTTAAGTTAGAGTAAAAATATTTAATTGGAGCTTTTTTCTGTTATTTGATTAAAAATAACTCCTTACTTAAGAAATTGGTTAAAAATCATTACAGTAAAGAATAATTTCTAAAACTGATGTGATACTTAAATCAGTCTCCATTGGATGGTCATTGTTTGACCGCGACATTCATTGTAAATATAACTTTCACATCCTTTTTCCTTTCACGACCTTGTTGTAGTTGGTCGTAATTTTCGAGACTCGATCATTTTATAATGTCCTAAATAATCTATTACTATTTGAAAAACTAGCTGAAAAGCTAGGTGTTAGATTACTAAGTCAGGTCTTAGTTAATAAGTTGGTCATGTTTGATGAAAATTAGTTGATAACTTGGATGACAATGTAAAATGATATAAGAAGACGTGTTTAAAAATTAATTGAAAAAAATGTTAAGGACGTAAATGGAAAAAAAATAAAATGAAAAATACTTCGAAACTTATTGAAACGCTAGCTTGTATCTAAACAAGCGGAACTTTTTATAAACCGGATTATGATTTACGTATACATACAATGTTCTAGATGGTTGAGGCTCGAAATGGAAGAAAGATCAAGCCTCGAGCCTTAGGACGGTCATGACAATTTTTAAGGCATGATTTATTACTATTTATCGATGATTTAATGATATTTAAACAATTAAATTAAATCGTATCTATACGATATTATAAAGCATTTGACAAGACTCTTAAAAATCATCTTTTATACATGAAGTACTGTTTATTGATGTATATTACTTAAAATTCAAGATTATAAGTAAATTGTGTGTAAGTATAACTTATTAAGCTTCATGTTTGAATTTGTATAACTAACTGTAGATAAATATAATCAAATATAAAAGAAAATTCTTATTTTAAATATAAAATCTAAAGGGCAAAATGCACAAATAGCAATCCACTTTCATAAATTTCTTTATTATAGCATTGTACTTCTAGTTTTTCTTATTACAACAATGTACTTTCAATAAGATTGTTTCTTTAATGTAAACTGATAAACGTCTGAATATGTGTAAGAGCTTTTTCCGTCAACTTCTTGAAACCGTTTGTAAGTTGTTTCGGTTAATAAACCCACCATTTTTTGCTTCTAAATTCAAACCGATTAAAAAGTTAATCTTGTATAACGGTTTGTTTCAGACAATATTGAAATGAAAAGAAAATTATTTGAGATTTATATACCTACGACTTTCAGAGGGAAGTATTAAACTCATGACAACCTACGTTTTTATTATCAAAAATAATTGGAATTGTGTCGGCAAAAATCATTGAAATTGACGAAAGATCAAATATATAATGAAATCATTAAATAGATGACAGGGAATAATAATTGACCTTTTGGAGACTTGTATTGAATGCGAATGTGTCTCACAACCAAGAATAATTCAGGGGGTCATTTCGGTTTTGGATCTAGGGCAATAGGTTCAAGAGATGAGGAACAATAATCAATTTTAGCTCGAATGGTTTGTAGTGGAACCCTACCCTCTCTGATCCATTCAACATGTCTCATCTTATCTGGATCACAAAAGGATTCAGTTACATTTCGATGTCATTTGAATCAAGGGATCGTGATTCTTTTTGCAATTTATAGGATTCTTTTGATGCGGGTTATCTTCGTCACTGGTTTTGAAGAACAATAAGAGGAAAATAAGGAGCGAGTTTTATTCTATCACATGAAAGTAAATAATAAAAGAATCTAAAAAGGGAGAAAAAACAAACCGTTTGAATTGGTTAACCTATTAGAGAAAAGTGGTAAGGGACTATTAACCAGTTAATGCTTCAACCGCTTATTCAAGTACTTAAATGTTTAAAACTTTACATCTTAGGTATTAAAATGAAAGTTTTGAAAGTATATTACCCAAAATAGGAATCAAGTTAAAGTACGTTATTTTTTCATGCAATTTACCCTTTAACATATGTCAAAAACATTTTTATGTTAAAAGGTAATTTAATTATCTATAAAGAATATAATTTAATTAACCTTGTTTGCTTTTTCTTTATAAAAACCCTCTTGTTAAAGGCCGTTTATCAAATACTTACCCGGTAAGTGCTTACCAGTAAAATTTAATATTATTATTTACTTATCGGGTAAGATTTTAGTTCACCAAAATGACATCGCATGCAACAATTTATCCGGTAATTGCTTACCGTGGTAAGAGTTATCGCTCTCACTTACCGGGTAAGACTCTTGGTTCTTGTTTCGCTTTTACCGGGTAAGATTCTTAGTCCTTACCATATTCATATAAAAAAATTGTATATGAATTAAAATGTATTAAAAAAATATGTTTACAAATTATACCATTAGGATCATGTCGTCAATACTTTTATATAATTATACAATTTACAGTTTCATACATTGAAAATGTATGTTCATATTCCCGTGTTAGTAGGGATATGGACGCATTATAACTTGTATGTGTGGATACTACATTCTAATAATTCGAGAGCATGTTTTGAGGGCTGTTGATGTTTCAGTATTTTACCATATGGTGGATTGTATTGTTTTTTTCATAGAAAGGACACATGTAAAATATACTGCATATTCCCCTGTTGTTCATTCTCCTTCAGTATCTGGTCGGCCTTATTGTTAGCATTTTCATGCACATTGTGGGAACTGTACTTTAATTATCCTGCATAGATTTGTTGACGATGTAGAGAGGACGGTGTGGGATTTATGGTGCCAACTGTGCATAATGGATTATGAGCATGGAGGTGCTTTAATTCGCTCTGTGTAAAATCTTTCTTGGTTAGCTGTAATCACCGATGATGTTCTAAGTTGTTCTGCATCATGTGTTAAAGACATATCTATTTCAGTTTAAACTTGTAATGGAAGTATGATTTCCAGTACTCGTTTTGTTGTGTCTGAAAAATATCAAATGAATACATCTGATTTTCTAGGCAAGACTCTTTGGGTCATTTTCAGCAAATTGTGCTGTCATATTTATCTGTTATTTTGTATTACTTTCACCAGGAATAACAGGCATATGAACTTTTAAAATGCAATTTATTTAATAGATATTGACATGTTCAATTTGTAGAGGTAACTTCATCACTTCGCCATTTTTCTGGATCGCTCGTATATTTAAAATGAAGTATGTCGATTAAGCATTGAAGGTTTTTCCTGTTTAGATTAATTCAGATGTTTTGATCAGTTTCCGTTCTTTTCTTTTCTTGTTTTGATCATGTACTCGACCAACGGACGTTTATAACACTAGTTAGTAGTTTTGTTGCTGCCGATATGTATGAAACTATAATACAAAGTCGACCACTCGCCTCCGGTCTCTCGAGTAAATTATGTTTACAGTCCCTATGGTTTGTTAAAATTTGTGATTTTCGTCCCTGTGGTTTAAAAATTACAGTTATTAACCACAAGGGTGATGTCTGATTGGTTTAAGCTTGACTCCAAAAGTCAAAAGTACCAGTAGGTTTCAGGTTTAAATCCAAAGGGAAATAAAAAATTTATTGTGACCACGGAGGTTCAAATGCAATGACTCCGGGCTATCTACAAAGCAGGTGGTCGTCCTGAGATTAGTCGGCTTGCATAGCGGGTTGGATATCCAGGTTAATAAAAAAAAAATTACAATTCTTATCTCTATAGTTGGTAATTCATTGCTATTTTTATCAGTATAATTTACATTTTTCGTTGTTTCATTCGCTGTGTTTTATAAAGAATCTGGTCCTTGTACTTAAAGGACTGATTGGTTTAGAGACAAAAATGACAATAAATTGTAAATTATATAAACAAAAATGACAAAACTACGTGGACGAAACTTGAAATTATTAACAAACCACGGGGGCAAAAATCGTAATTTACGGAGGAAAGATAAATAAAAAACTGGTGTTTTGAAAAGAGAAAGGAAAGAGGATAATATCAAAACTTTTCTCTCAGATGTGAAGAAATAAATTAAAACTCCTCAAAGAAATTATTAAAATTACAATTACCCAAAAAATAGAAACGTAGATACTCATTTTGGAAGTATTATTTACGAATCCGTAACCGAGTCGATAACTTCTCCATTCTACAAACACATTAATCGATCGATTATAATTCACGAGACAAAACCGATACGGTTATAAAGGCAAATTAATCTATATAACTCGGAGGAATCGATGATCTCAACAGCTAAAAAGAGTTCTAACAGCATAAACCCCAGGGTTAAAATTCTTAAATCGTGGTAAAAAAATTACCTCCAAATTTTTCGCTGACGATATCCGATAAAGTTGCAGTCGAGAGAGAGCCAAGCCGAGCCGACCATTGGTGTTATTGATACTCGGGTTTTAGAATCCACGAGGACCCGTTCGGGTTCCTTTGCAACGTTGCTATCTCCTTCAAAAGAGACTTGAAAATGGGAAGATCCTTCGAAGGTATCCGATCTCTAAAATGCTGCACGATACTGGCGGAATCACAGCTTCCGCCTCTTTGTTGTATAAACGAACAGATCTGACGGATCAGAACTTCCGGTGGCGCCCCACCCAAGTTGTTAGATGATCGGTTTCTACCAACGGAACTTGAAGTCGCACCCAATTGATGTTCGAGTGCATCACTGACCGCTTGCTCTTGGGTTCCTCGAATCTTAGCAAGTAACTCGGATGACGATAGTGCTTTACTGCCAGATGCTCCAACAACGAAGTTATTTTGGTTGTTAGTCGATCTTTCTTCGGTTTTGGTTTTGGTGATCAATTTGGAGTTCACGGTTGATCCGAATTTCCGGACTACAGTCGATACGGGGGCACCAGCGGCTCCGGATTTTCCGGTCCAGGTTGGAACAGAGATGCTTTCTCGGCTCCGAATCATTCGTGATTGGCGTAGTGCTTCGGCGGCTCGGTGTGCAACTTGGGAAGCTTGCTCATCAAGCCTCACTTTCTCCTCGTCGTGAGCATTCATTATTACATCATGGTTCACCGCACTCTAAAATCATCACAGAAAATAGAATAGCTACATGAGAAGCTTCATGATAGTATTGTTCCCTGTGTTATATCTAGCTGTTAGCTGAACAACTAGTTGTTGGCTAATAAGTTAGCCGATAAATTAGTAGTGGTCGGTCAAAACTAGCTAATAAATTGGCTCTTTGGTTATTTGTTGAGCCCAGCCTTGAGGAGGTCTAAGGGGCCGTTTGGTTGGTTTTCTATTAAGTCCGATATGGATAAAAATGTCTATGTGCATTAATTTGTCTGTATAGATTGAAAAGGTTTTTGTTTGGGATGGTTTTTTCATAGATGGAATAAACTTGTTTTTATTTGGGAAACAAAAACTTGGCTTTCTACATAAAGCTCACCGAACAAGTCACTTTCTATATCATTAAGCCACTACCAAACAGTATCTATGAATCCCGTTAAGCTCATTACGCTGCTAATAATCAAGCCCTAAGGGTTCAAACATCACCAAAGGGGAGTAGTGTGCGTGAGTATTTACCCCATATACATATTATATACTTGAAAGAAATTAGATGACAAAGTAAAAGGACCTAAAAGGATATGCTGAAAAATTAATTGGAAAAACGTAAGGGCATAATTGGAAAAAAGCTCCTATAGTTTTATGAAACGCACCAGAGGGCCTTTGGCCTAGCGGTATGCGAGTCCTTGGCCTTCTAGGAAGTCAAGGGTTCAAACCTCACCAAAGGTGAGGAGGGTGTGTGAGTTTATTTGTTCTATTTGCCGTATATAAATATTATATACTTAAAAAAAGAAGTTTTATGAAACGCTAATTGAAGTAGTTTTTTCAAAAGGCTAGTTTATGGCAACCAAACGAGACTTTTTCAACAAGTTCAAAAAATAAGCTAACTTATGTTCATCAAAAATGACCTAAAAGGTGATACGGACTTACATGAATCCCCTGAACATCAAAGAGACTCCGCAAGATATTTGTTTCCTCACCTCCCCCTTCTTTGCTATCATCGGTCGTTCCCTTTTCTTTCTTTTTAGACGTCTTTTGGGTTCCCGTTGCAGCATTATCATCTTTAACAATTGCTGATCCGTTTAACCCTTGCAAATCTTGGTTATTTGCAGGAGAGGCCACGACGTTTACATCTTCGGATAACTGACCGAAAAGATTAGATGTTTCAGTACTGCCGTTTTCTCTATCATCGTTCAATGTGAAGAGATCTTTCATGTCTCGAGCCTTAAAGAATCGTCTTTGCTGTGGATTTTTCAAAATTTTGTTGGTCAAAAAATGTTTGTATATCTGTCGATGATACACTTTCTCTTCTATCGTCCCACGGGTTATCAATCTATAAACTGTTACATCTTTTGTTTGACCAATTCGCCAAGCACGCTCCCTCGCCTATGATATGCAGTGAAAGAACAATGAGCATAACTTCCATGACACAAAATCAACAAACAACCGATAAGAAAAGGATGCAAGTTTAGAAGTATTGAAATTTGGAAAGGGCAAAATGCATCAAAATCCAACAAAGTTCTGTTTAGTTCTTATTTAGTGTAACTAATTTTTTTTTCTCGATCAATGTAACAAGGTTCCAAATTTTCCTTGTTTTATCCCATTCCGACCGGTAACCACTTGATATTGTAATATTTGATGGCAGAATCTCAAGTTAATCGTCCACTTTGCCGTAACTCTTGTGTAAACGAGTCATCCAAGTCATCAAGTGTTACAAAATAAGCAAGTTATTGGTCAGAATGGGTACAAAATAGTAAAATTTGAAACTTTTACATCGATTGACGAAAAAAAGTTCTTTGGTACACTAAATAGAAACTAAAACGAACTTTCTTGCATTTTTATTCATTTTGCCTTTTGAAAATTCATGGAACTTGACGTTATCTAAAGGGCTGTTTGGTTGGTTTTCCATTTAAGTCCTGTATGGATAAAACTATCTATGTGGATTTATCTGTCCGTATAGATCAAGAAGGTTCCTGTGTGGGAGGATTTTCTCATAAATGGAAGGAGCTTGTTTTTTAATTCGGGAAAAACTTGGCTTTCTGCATAAAGTTCCCCCTAGAAGCTTACTGAATAAGTCACTTTCTATATCATTAAGCCACTACCAAACAGTCATTTATAGCTGACCAAATAGTTGTGAGTCCCATTAAGCTCATTAAGCTGCTGACAAACAGGCCCTAAGTCCTATCAGGGGAAACCAACAAGTAGATTTTGTGGTAAAATATAAGTAACCAAACCAAACAAGCCCAATATATCCCATCTGAAGATGAGGTACAGAGAGTTAGTTGTATGCAGATCTAACCTCTACTCTCAAAGAGTAGCACGGCTATTCCATGAAGACACCCGCTTGGTAAAATATAAGTAAAAGAAGACAAACCTGCATGTCCGTTGAAGGGTTCCAATCAGGATCAAAGATGATCACTCTATTGGCACCAGTTAAATTCGTCCCCAGGCCGCCAACTTTTGTCGTCAAAATGAAGATGAAGATATCAGGTGAATTGTTGAATTCATCCATTAAAGTCATCCTCTGTTTTACAGGGGTTTGACCATCCATTCTTCTATAGGTATAGCAATCAGCAATCAAGAAATTCTCGAGAATGTCGAGCATTTGTTGAGTCTGTGCAAAAAGAAGAACGCGGTGGCCTTGTTCTTTCCACACCTTGAGCACCTGGGCAACAACTTTCATCTTTCCACTTCGTTCTGGATTTCCATAGTCGGGATTCTGAGCAGCGTGTTCTCTCTCGAGTAGATCGGGGTGATTGCAAATTTTACGCATTACATCAATTCCATAAAGGGAGTTCCTGTCTCCATTGAAAATTTGTTCCACCTCTGAGCTAGCAAGAAATGCCCGGTATAAAGATCGTTGATCTGATGTAAGGCTGCAAAAGAGGACATGTTCGGTTTTTGTTGGAAGCTGAGCATTAACATCCGCCTTCATTCTTCGAAGAAGATAAGGCAGGATTAAGTCGCGTAGAACAACTGCACATCTGCAGAATATTAACTCAATCAGTAATATAACTCAAGCAACGACTATAAAGACCAAAAGATGCATGTCTTTTAATTAGGGGCAAATGCATCAAAATGTAACAAGGTTTGTGTATTCTTTTCCCAATGAATGTAACAAAGTTTCAAATTTTCCTACTTAATGTAACAAAATTTCAATTTTTCTTTTTCTTTTACCCATTTTGACCGATAACCTGATGAACTTGTAACAAAATTTGAAACTTTATTAAACCAAACTTTGGGAAGAAAAAGAAAAACTTTTTGTTGCACTAAATAGGAATTAAACCAAACTTTGTTGCGATATAATTGCATTTTGCCCTTTTAACTATATATTTAAATGAAATGATTCCTTCAAAAGGTTCTTTATAGTTCCTTTTTCCTTCTCATCTCGTCCATGACACCGAACCACTGCAAAATTCAGCTATTTGTCCATAGGAGGAAATAAAAGTATCGGATGACAATCAACACAAAACCTATATCTAAACTCTAAAGCACAGAGTTTGAAAGCAAGTATCATGAAAATTCATGCATACCTGTAAGCAGTGGATACTTGCAAAGGTGATGCGTTAGCATAGCCACCAACAGAAATCGGAACTGCAAATTCTGCTTCAAATACGGGTAGAACACCCAATTTTCCAGGAAATACAAAATCAAACAATGACCACAGTTCACTTAGCCTGTTCTGAATAGGTGCACCAGTCATTATAATTCGATGAACGGTCTGTAGTTGTTTGCAAACTAAAGTAACTTCTGCGTTTGGGTTTCGTATTCTGTGTCCTTCATCCAATACCGCATAACCCCATTCAATGTCAAGCAGCTTTTCTCCAAGGATCCGTAGCTGCTCATAAGTAGTAATCAGCAAACCAGATTCATTTCTCAAAACACGATTTATCAAGGAATCCCACTTCTTGTTGCTTCTTGGCAATGAACTTCCTCCTCCATCACTTTCTGATGTAGTTTCATAATCACTTTCATCGGACTTGGCTTGCTTCTTCTTATAGGAAGCATCCTGAGCAGAATCGTGTAATATTTCCACATGAAAGCTTGGATACCATTTCTTTGCTTCTCTCCTCCATTGCCGCAAAAGTGTGACTGGACATATGACTATACTAGGCTTGTACATCTTACTGAAATGCAGAGCTCCAAGAAAAGATAAGACTTGAATGGTTTTCCCAAGTCCCATTTCATCTCCAATAATTCCACCAGCCCTTTGGCAATGAAGCTCCCATAACCACTGTACACCCACCTTTTGATAGTCAAAAAGCAGACTGAACACAGAAGATGGAATCTTTAATCCACCTTCTAGTGTCACAAAAGAAGCTTCACCGCCTTCCACATCTTCAACACCTTCTTGATTATCTTCTTCAGCACTAGACCCTTTTGCATCCTCTGCATTCAGGACAGATAATATCAGATGTTTGATAGAGGCTAGCCGGGAAGGGGGAAATGAAGATATCAGAAGCAGAGTAAGTTTTAAAAGATGATATAGATCTACACAAACAGCTTGTTTTTTTTCAATCATTAAAACTAGCCTATCCTCAATGGATTGTTTCGATGAGAAGTTACAGATATCATGTGAAACTTAAGCTGATATTTGAACCTGAGAGAGTATTCTTGCAATCATGGAAGTGAAATATTTCAAATATGAATGTTCCCCATATGATACATTCATATTTCATTACCCTCGTGAAATCTATCACACCAAACAGTCTCTATTGGCACTACTCATGAAACTTCAATGTATGAACTGTAAATGCATTTAAAAAAGGTATCATCTTCCACGCCGGTTTTTAAGCATACATTCTTTATCTGTATTTACTTCTGCAAAAAAGCCTAAGAATACTATTCTTGTTGCAAACTTGCAATCCGATTCACAAGACACGAGTATTTGCCACAGCCAGTGGCCCAATTCTAGTCACCCTACAAAAATTATGCAAGCCTTCACTCCAGTGTGTGTATCATTACTAATTTAATACGGATAATATGAAACTCACACTTAAAGCCAACAAAGGGGCTGCTGTGCCATTCAAGAGTCTATGTGCAGTAAAATTTACATAGCATCCACAAACAACTATCAAACCTATATGATTCACCATAAATTAATTTCCCTAGAATACTTTACCATCTGCAAGCAATAGAAACCAAAGCGAGTGTGCCTGAACAAAAGAAGAAAACACACTTACAAAATAAAATAAAAATATGAAGAAGTGAATCAAGGAAAACCATGCATATTTAAAGGTTTTGTTTTTTTCAAAATTAAAGAATGTGCTTATATCAAGTAGAGGCTAAGGCCATATAAATTACTGAATTCCCTAGAGCAAGTTTTGACTATGAAATACCTACAAATTCACATACCAATTTCTTCCAGAGAATTATCCTCACGAGATGCTACCTTCCTCCACCTCTTCCCAGGCAAAGGCCTCCTCTTTTTCCTATTTGAATCTTTAGACTTTCCTCCCTCACTCTCCTGGGACTGAGGAACTTTAAAAGGGGTTTTAAGTCTTTGAAAAGGACGGGTTGGTGCATCAAGTCTTGGTAAGGAATCTGGATCTAATAGCTTCGTTGTAGGACGAGCTTGTGCAGCTTCTGACATTGATTTAACAGCTCTTGCTATGCTGGTAGAGGAAAGATCATTGCCTTTATCGCCTTCTTCAATTGTATGAGATGGTCCTGGTTCTTCGATGCGACGTTCATATCCTTTGAGGTTATGAAACGGGGTTAGAATTCCTTTTCGAACCAACTCATCCCTTTCCTGAGATTAACCAATCAAAATTATCAATGACTGTCCATAATAATCCAAATTTGTGGGCAATTCATACATATATGGTTTCTAACGAATAAATCACTTTTCATGCTTCAAAAAGTAAATATTATACCACTTCGAACCTCTTGTACCCTACAGGAGATCATATAGCTCACAAAATAGAGTCAATGAAACCCAGGACTCACTGTTTCAACAAATCCTGCAGAGGCTGCATTTAAAACTGCATCAAAATCACCATCATCATTGAAGGCCACTGTTTTATGCCGTTTCTTCAATTTCTTATTTGTTTTTGGGATTTCTTTCTGCTTTCGCTTGTGATTTGGCTCTTCCTTGACAATAGATTGCAAGACCTTTGCATGCTTACTACCTTCTGGAAAGCCCTCATTGCCCAAATTTGCAAATTGTTTCTCGAGCTGAGCCTTCGTCCTCTTCAGGCTTTCCAGTCGATCAGTTGCTAGAGCATGCTGAAGGGTCAGATCATTGGAAGAAGCCTGCAGGATGCTTTGTTCTCCATCTAAATCCCCCAACCCGTTCTCATCATCACTGCTGTGTACATGTTCTTCAGCTTTTGAAAAGTTCTTCACATCTTCAACTGTACTTGCAACAGCATTTATTTCGACATTTATGGCTCTTAATTTATTAAGGACATCCGTTCTGCCGGTGCATGATGGTTCATTGCTTTGTCGTCTCTCAAGATGTTCATCATCCGCAGTTCCTCCCACTTGTTCAGCATGGTTTCTTGCCTGCCAATAGATAAAGGTTGTGATTAAATTTGGTTGCGCTTAAGAACACATTCAAATGCTTTAAGCAAATGTATGTATAACAGAGTAGTTTAATGTCTAAAACTGGTAACTGTTTCTTTCTCTTAAGCTGGCATCAGGTTACATATAGTTCATATTTTAATATTTTTCAAAGCAGTAGCACATCCGGCTTAGATCAATCAAGCAAATCCTAATGCATTATACAATAAACTGGTAATCTAATTAAGAGTAGGCTGGTGACTATATTGCTCMTGTTCGATACTTTACTTTAGTTGATGAAGGCAAGTCTAAACACCATTTGTGCGTTCGATACTTTACTTTAGTTGATGAAGGCAAGTCTAAACACCATTTGTGCAATGGTCATGGCAAGTCATCATCATTATTCTAAGTAATAAGCAAAATATGATAGCTTAAACTCAGAATTGAGATGGTTTATATCATGCAAACAACAAATAATCATCCTAAGCCAACTTTCAAGTAAAACAACCAACACAAATAAAAAAAACTAAGATATATGAAGCACCTCTTCTAATATATCATATTCAATCTCTTCTGGGTTTGCTGATGTGACGCCAAGACTACTTAACAGAGCTCTATCTTCCTCTTCTTCTTTCATTCTGAACACACCAACTATTCCATGATTACTGCTGAGAATTGAGATCCCAAAGAACCACTGCCACAATCACACAAATACATCACTTGCTATCATTTGGATAAGTTATGGCAGTTTTCATGAACCTTAACAGGCACGACATAACCAACACAATTCAGATATCAAAACAAGCCAATGTAAGTGTGCAACTACGAAAAGATATAACTTGAACCTGGTAATGTTCTAAATTTGTTGTGCATTCCTGAATAACCACTATATGCTATAACGAACATGATATTTAGGAATTATGTCTAATAGAGTTGTTCACTTTCGGGCAATTTCAGAATGCATCGTAATTTCTTGCAGTAACTCACACATTCATGATCTTTATAACGCTCAAATGAAGCACTATAAACACAACGGTACATCCAACCAAATTAAGCATCATACTCAGCCACAAAACCGAACAATAACACAAAAAGATAAACCCTTTCTTCGACCACAAACATACTTGTTTCAGCATAAATTTAACAATGACTGAATTGTTCAAATGCAATCTATACAAGTTCAAATAACGTAAAAGAATATCGGTCAGTCTAATCCAAACAAGTCTTCTGATGTAGTTTACCGGGAGTCTGGCTGTCTCTATTTATCACGATGTTCGATTGATTCGAGGCAATAAGAGGATCATAGAACAAATACAGCTCGATCAGATGATCAATCAAACCCTAGATTGACGGAAACCACAATTTGTGAACTCGGCTTTGGTTCTGATTTCCCTCTTTCAAATCCGTTGATTCGAAACCTAAAACCTAAATCAATCGGAAGAAGAGGGATGAGAATCGAGAAGAACGTACAGATAGCGACGACGTCGTATTTGTAGCTGTGAACTCAGTCGAGTCGAGTCGGGTCGGTTTGCTTGTTTGACTCTCGTTATGATTCGCGCCTTTCGTTAAAAAAACATATTTTTTAATAAATTAAAAGGAAAAAGGAAAAAAAAAACAACATAAACTATTTAATTTTTTTAATGAAAAACCATTAAAAATTTTCAATTAAATTTTTAAATCATTTTTTAAATGAAAAATCTATTAAATTTTAACATTTTTAATGATCAAGACTTTGATTTTTTTTAAATAAGTCATAGAACTTTTACTAGTCGGCTAATATAATTTTTCTAGGTTAAAATAATGTAAGTAATCAATTTTTAAAAGTGTGATGATTTATTTATTAAAAAATGTTCAGGGACTTAATTAATCAAAATGTGAAATTTTAATGATTTTTTATTCAAAAAGAGAAAGTTTACTGACTTACAAATTCAAAATGAGAAAATTTAATGGTTTTTTCATTCAAAAAAAATAGTTTAGAGAGTCATTGACTAAATGATCCAAAATGAGAAAGTTTGTTGGGGTTTTTTAAACTTTTTTCTAAATTAAAATCAAATACTTATAATTTATTTAATTGAAATTAAAAATAATTATATGATTTTCTTTTAAAGAAATACATAACCTCAGGCAAATTTTATTGAAAACAAATACAGTATTACAATTGACCATGATAATGCCTATTGCCTCGTAGAGATGTCAAAAATCAGTCTCGGGCTAAGTGGATCGGGCTTAAATCAGTCCCGTCTTTGATTTTCTTTTTGTTATTGGTCCCAACATAACCGTTTTTAGTTCTGACTGAAAACCCATGTCCAGTCTCCATATTTTATAACGGGTCCCGGGCCAAGTCCAAACTGGTCCCAATTTTTTTTTCAAAAATCAATTTTGAACGTAAATAATCTTGTTTGAAGATTTTTTTGGGACAATATCTTATTGAAATACACTTTAAAATCTTTAATTGAGTCATTTGAATACAATTTGAGAACCAAAAAAATTGCACAAAAATGTTATAGATTTTTTTATAATTACGGTTTTTGAGATTTAGTATTAGAACACCTACAGAAACTTGAAAAACGTCAAAAAGAACTGAAAAGCTTTAAAAAAACTTGAAGGTTTTGGTATAATTTTTTTTTGAAAATCTTGTAGAAATATTGAAAAACTTGATATATACAATTTATAAAAATTTAATTTTTTTTAAGTCGGGCCTATTTATAATTGGTCCAATCTGGGGCAGGCTATGAATTTTCATAAAAATCATTTGTTGATATTCAATTTCGATTCCGAAGCTGAATTCCGTGAACCAAACAAAAAAAATTCCAATTCCGTTAAGAATTTCATTTCAATTCCATGCAACCAAACGCAATCACAAGAAATGGTCTAATTCCATCAGATTTCATTTCATTCCTTTAAAGTCAAATTTATTTGATAAATTCCAATTCTATCGAATTCCATTCTACGAACCAAACGCCCCCTTACCGTATTTGGAAATGAGTATTTTATTTTATAAATATTGGATTATTATTTTTTTGTTATGAATGATTTATATATTCTAATATACAATGGTTTTAATTGTAATTTTAGTTACTAAAGAATTTAATGTTAAGTAGATTTTATTTAAGTAATTAATAAAATTATATTTTTATTATTATTAACCTTTTTTATATAATTTATTAAACAATCATTTTTTATTCAACATTTACTTCAAACATAAGGGCAGAATGGTGATTTCTTTCATTCAGACGATTTATTTCTCACATAAAACAAACAAATGACGTAGTTCATACAAGACTCGGGGGTCGTTTATCAACACCAATCGGGTAGGTGTTTATTGCATAAGATACTAAGATTCACTGCCCTCATTTACCTTATTGGGTACGATTATTGATCCTAAAGAAAATGACATAGTAAGATTGTTGGTAAACGTCTCTTATCCAATAAGACTTACCACCCTCTCTTATCGATGAAGATTTTCCGTCTTTGTCATGTCTCTTACTGAGTAAGATTCTCGATTCTTATCATACTCATCCAAGATTAATAACCCTGTAAGTGCTTATCCGGTTAGCAATCCTTCAATAATTAAATTAAATAATCCCTCAGTCTAAAGATGTACAAGATTGAGGGCTTTTCAGTCATGTCCCCGACTTTCCAAGACTGTTTTTAGTAAAGCAAAAAAGAGCTTGAGTTTTTTAGGCCCAAACTGGGATTTGGGGTTGAAACAAGGTCTGAATTGTTAAAAAAATATTTGGACCAAAATATTTTTACTGTATTATTAATAAAATTACAATTTTTTTTTATTATATTGCAATAACATGTGTTAGGTGGTGGCTGACTTAAAAATCTTGGTTCTAACAAGTTACGATTGGTGCAGGCGTACAGGTAGGTTCTGGTTCTGAGGAAAATCGCAAAAAAATGAAAAATTGGTGAACACCATAATAATCATTCATCTATATGGTATGCACATGTGTAATACAAGTAATGTGTTTGGTATGTACACGTGCATAACGTGCACAAAAACCAAGAAGCATCTTCAATTACTTGTATGCACATGTACATACTGTACAGATTGATGATTATTAAAGTGTTTCTCATTTTTTCATTTTTTTAAAGTTTCCCCTGAATTTCACTTGGTCAAKATACGACCCAAAACGTGAGTATATATTTTGTGCATTTATATTCAAATCTGTTACCAATTATTAAAATTTCAATCACGATAAGCATACTTTGATCAACACAATGCCATGAACCAGTTGGAACAAAAGCGCCATACGTGATATGACCGTTATTCAAAATCATGATCATTACAAAGTCGGAACATATGAGTTCACATAATAGAAATGTAACTCAGATATGCTATTTTTGTAAATATATAATAGTTATAATGACGAAACTGTCACATACTCCTCATCTTTTGTTAGGTTTGAACCCTTAATCTTCAGGGAAGTTGGTATCCACTAGTAACCCATGTATTGTTGGCCAATGGCCATTTGTTCGAAAAGATTTGCGTTTTTAGATGATAGAAATGACTGAACTGTGACGATGATGCATAATATTCCAGAACATAGAATCTTTATAAGCTACAATCAACTTGCATAATCACTCATCAAACACTGACAGTTTTGTTTCACATGTCTTTTCAAATTGAAATTCACTTCATTGCCGCTCGTATCTACATCTCCGACAACTTTGGTTGTTCGTTGGACTCGTTACGAGTCATGTTTGATTATTCTTGAACACGATCATACCTAAAGTAGTATGTCGTTAGGTGATGAATGTGAACGAAAATTCATTATTCAAGCGTCTACTTTTCCTGTCCAACCATGAACAATATTGAAGTTTGTTGATTGCTATGTTTCTCCTACCGTCCAACTGTGCTACAGTGTCTTGTACCTTATGTAGTTAAAACGTACATTAATTGACCTTTTCAAATGGGCCCAGTTTCATTTTCTTCCATTTTCATTACAATAACTTGTATCTTATGCATTAAAAGTTGTACATTGTTTTAAATTTGGTTGGTCCACTTTCATTTGAGTGTCAATTTGGTCACATTTAGAGGCCACTTGATTTTTCAAGCCTTAGAAGCAAACACACTAGTTGGTATCTTCTAAAATAAGTTTAGTTTAAGGTCCAAATTTGGTGCTCAAGTTTCTATGTTTGGTCCCAAAAGTATTTGGTTATTTTATGATAAAATTGTTAATAATTTGATCTGATTAAATGTCCTAAATAACAATACGAAGGGTGAACGTTAAAAACTCCTTTTTTAGAACGTATGTCCCACAAATTCTAATTCGAAGATCAAAAGATGATGTGTCGATATTTAGTTTGTTTTTTGATACAATGTATAAAGATCCTATAAAATGACTCGATAAATAAAAGATCGAGATTGTCAAGGTTTGATATCCAAAGTGAATATATATATATATATATATACACACACACACACACATATAATCAGTAAGGGAGCGATAAATTTTACAGACTGAAGACAAATTAATTATTATTGTTCAAAAATAATTTTTTATTAAAAATTATCCCAAAAAACATAACAGTTTTTATCGAATATAGGAAAATGCAAAAATCTCGAAAGTCATCAGCAAAAGTTCATTTTTACTGATGAGTTTGGGAAGTTCGTCGATAAAAGTTTAAGTAGAATTTTTTATTAATTATAATATAATACTTTTGCTGACGAGTTAATGAAATTCGGCGGTAAAGATGTCTTAAAATATTAAACACACTTTTATCGGCAGGTTTCGGAAGTCTGTATGTAAAAGTTTATTTTTGCTGACAACATTTTCCTCGACAAAAAGTTCAACTTTTATTGGAGCTTTCATTTTATTAACCAGTAAAAGTTTTTTTACCGACAGATTTTCCGAAACCTCCCTGATAAAAGTGCATTTTTCTTAGTGCTAGATTTGTTATGCTATAATTAAATTTATTTTTATATACAATAGTAAAAAATAACTAACAATTATAACCAAAGTGCTTCTAACATGTTCAGTGGACAAATGAGTGAAGCGGGTTTGTCCAAATATAAGATAGGTCTCGTGTTCGACCACCCTTCCCGGGCGGCTAACCTCAGCCGCTGAGTGAGGCAAAATAAGCTTTTTCACATTGTTGTCATTATAGGCGGGTTCCGTGTAAAACCAGTAATCAACTTATGCCAAAAAAAGTACAATCAAAGTTTTTAAAATCTAATAATTGAATTAAAAATTAAAACATTTTTATGATTTAATCTACACTATATGATAAATCATTTAGATTAAACTCTTAAAACCCATTTTTAATGCATCAAATACTAAATAATGACGTATATTACTTAAAATTCAAAAAAAAAGGTAATGGTGCATGAGTACAACTTTTTTAAGCTATATGTTTTGATTCATATAACTAACTGATAAACATCTCATTTCAGATAATTAAGATAAATATTGAATTCCAACATAATATTTAATTGTTATATTTATAAAAAATATTATATTAATAAAACTAAAATAAATTACTTCGTTTTCGAACCTAAATCAAATTATAATAAAAAATTGAATTAAAAATCATTACTATAAAAAAATTATATTATTAACGGAGATCTCGTTGGATAACACGACAATAAAATGTAAAAAATACGTATATAATTAATTAACTGTATGGGTAATAATAATTAATTAATTTAATAATAGGATAAAAGAAATTGCTCAGAAATTTCTTTTGAAGAGCAATGGCACGTGACACAAAAACAAAAGAACATGCACGTCCATGTGCTGATGGTCAACTTGGATCATACCATGCAATCTTATAAATCCTTGTTTTATCTCTTCTAACTCTTATATATTATTTACTTTTAGTTTATTATTTTATTTAATTGTCATGTATTTTTTTAAATACGACATTTAATTATATAAACTACTAATTTATTTTACAATTTGTATTATTTATATCAGATTGGTTGGATTCCAGTGAGAATATAAGCTATGGTGAGAGCAATAAGAAAAGATCTTTACCCTTTTGATCAATCCTAATTGAAGGTCAATGCCCTATTGTAATGCACCAAGATGTATCAAATCAATTCATGTGATAAATGCAATTCATGGGTGAGGTTGAGACTACAAGTGATCAAAGATCCATATCATTTCTTATGCTTCCCACCTTAGCTCATATTTTCACATGGTCATTCGTCTGTATCACGCATAGTTAATGTGACTAAAAGTATAGGTGTAGCAGATCTCTTGTTTATTTGTCATCTTTCACAATCGTAAATCAGTTTATTGAAAAAACTGTGTATTGTTTATGACAAATTAAATTATAAACTAATTTTTTCCAATTTTTTTTTTCTAATTATAACCTTAATATTATTTGTCCAAATATTTTTCAAAATAATTTTAGGTCAGTTTACATTTCAAACGGTTTTTAACTGACAACTAATTTTTCATCCAATAACAAATTTATCAACTAATTTATAAAACATAAATCAATATATGTGTGTGTATATATATATATATATATTTTATAATCTAATACTATATTATAAAACATTTGATAAAAAAATTTAGAAACCATTTTTTATAAATGAAGTACTACTTATTGATACATATTATTTAAAATTCAAGATTACAAGTAAATTGAGTATAAATACAACTTATTAAACCTCCATTTTTGAATTCRTGTAACTAACTRCAGATAAACATAATCATATACATGATAAACATCACATTTTAAATATAAAAAATCTAAAATATAATTAGAATAATTGTTGAGTTATAATAGAATACTTAATTATTATCTTTATAAAAAAATAAATTATTAAACCAAAAAATAAAATTAATTCGTTATTAAACTAATAAAATAATTCATTATTACCTTTATAAAAAAAATTATATTATTAAATCAAAAATAAATTATTCGTTATTAGACTTAAATTAAATTATAATAAAAAATTAAATAAAAGAAATTACACAAAAAACGAGAACTTTTAAATAATTAATTTAATATTAATATGATTTTTAAAAAAAAAATTTAATTACAATATTTTCAAATTTATATTTTATTCAAAAATAAAAAAAATATTACCATTTTTTCAAAATCATATAAAATTGTATTATATCAATAGACAACGAATAAAAGAAAACAATAAAATCGAGATATATTTTGTTGTATTGTACGAGTACCCTTATAATAAAAATAAATAAATTGAAAAAACTTATGAAAAGATTATCCCTCTAAAAGATATTTCGATTAAATTATATATCCAATTAAACATGTCATGAAAATAATATTAATTTACTCAATAATTATTTAAGGAGTTAAAATTAAAATTCGAATAAATATAAATAAAAGGAAAAAACAAAAAAGAGGTAACAGAAAACTTGACGAAGGTATATAAAATGCAAATGTGTATGGAGGTTGTATGTATAGGTGTGGGCAGCAACAAAGATGCGAACGAGATAGCTTGAAGAGAGAGAAGGCAAGCACGAAAATGGCGGAATGATTCTTTATATGTATCCATATCCATTAATTAATTCACATATATAAAACTTCCTCCATCGATCGATATAATTTTGCATTATTATCTCTCCGACACAGGAATTCGTTGGTGCCTCTTGACTGACCGGCCGATTCTGCATCAACTCAAGCCGATTCTTTTTGTTTTTGCTTCTTCGGATTAGTTTGATTTCATTACGGTAAGTTGGATTTTTGTTTGAGGCGCGTTTTTTTATAAAGTATTTTGATCTGCGAGCTTTTTATTGCATATTGTGCTTTATCTTTGTGAAAATTCGGTCTACGACTTGAAATCTTGGTATATATGCATTGGTTTGAGGTTATGGGATCTTGAAAAGAGATGTGTTGGAATTGTGTAAGCTTAAATTCTGTAATGTTTATTGTTTGTCATTTGCATTTGGAATATGAATATTTCATGAGTTCGTTTGAAACAGAATCGTCAATAACTGTGATGAAGTTGTGATCTGGAACATTTCTTCTTGTACATTATTCTTTTGATGTTCGTTTTTCCTCCAATGATGTGTTCATTTTCATTGATTTTGAATACAATGTGATTGCAGAAATCTGTTGTCCAGTGGGAAATCCTTAGTATTTGTGTGTTTCTGAGGTATTGATTCGTGGGTTGGTGATGAATTTCTTGGGGTGAGAGAAATTTATGGATTCAGCAAGGAGTTGGCTACACAAGTTTCAACCAAGAGACAGGTTAAGGTCAAATAACAGGAGGAGGGATTCGATGGGTGGGGGTGAAGATGAAATTTCTGGTGAAGAGGCATCAGCTATAACAAAGCAGAAGGTTGCTGCAGCTAAGAAATATATTGAGAACCATTACAAGGAGCAAATGAGGAATTTGCAGGAGAGGAGAGAAAGGTATATCACAGTCTTCATGAAATTACATACTTCTAAAGTCAATTAAATATGGGTGATTTTTATAGGCTTGTCATTTTTCTTTGCACTTGGGGTTTTTGTAATGCTTTCGCTGTCCTTGGATCTGTTTGGCTTGATACAGACTACAAGAAGCTAAAATTTAGCAGAAACTTTACATCTGTTCTGTACTTTACTATTACCTAAAAACATATGTATTATCTATTCCATCTATCCTATCTTTAGATGCTTACCGGTTCTCCACAATGTACCAAGAAGCACCTAAGATTATGACTTTCAGCCAGGCAGCTTCATTGAAGTCTAAGACTTAGGCAAGACTTATAAATGGAGCAGATTACGTGGCCAACAAAACACCAAAGATTATAGAACATTACACCTTTCTTTTGAAAAATATACATTGAATCAAGTATTTACACTTATGGACCAAGAAACACCTCACATCATGTGGCCAAACTAAACCATGTATTTAGTCTATACCCTTCGCATAATAGAGAATAGCAATCTGTTGGTTCCTAAAGAAAGATAACACTTCAATTTTCGTTCAATAGGCGAATTTTACTTGAGAAGAAACTAGCTGATGCTGATGTTTCAGAGGAAGATCAAAACAACTTGCTTAAATTTCTAGAGAAGAAGGAAACTGAATACATGCGCCTTCAGAGGCACAAAATGGGAGCTGATGATTTTGAGCTACTCACAATGATTGGGAAGGGTGCTTTTGGTGAGGTAATGGTTGCTCTGATTTTTTCTTTTCAGTTTGGGCTGATAGACAACATGGCATGGTTATACTAGTACTTAATGTTAGCTCTACCTTTGTCTTTTCAGCTTCCATCCTTTTTGATGTTACGTTTTTTTGCTGAATATATTCTGGGATAGTAGATAATGAAACCATGTATGCAATGACAATGGTTGAAGGTGGATTTTTTTTCTGAGTTGATTGATTTATTCTCTCCCATAAATCTATTTTTAATACTCTAAATGTTACCTGAACTTCCCCCTATCAACTATTGAAAATTCCACAGTTATAGATATATTCTAATAGCTATAGTATCTCCAGAGTTGTAGAGAAATGAGAGCTTTCAATGGGAAAACGTGCAGCAGTCTGTTGTTGGTTACTCAGTTGCCTAATAATGTGATGGATGATAGGTCATAAAGGCACTGTATTCACTATTACAGTTTGGATGCATGAAAAGTCTGATCAATTATTATGTGCACCAAACCACCAACCTGTTAAGAAAGCGGGAGTTGGATAAGCATGGGGCTATATTTCTGACAACTTTGTTTTCTCCTGAAGATTTCATGGTTTTCATTCCCTTTGAATTGTGATTGTAAGCTTCTACAGTATTCCAGTCTGTGAATTACTGTGGGAGGAATTATAGACTTATAGTTAATGAATTGAAATTCTACAGTAGCATACAATTATAATTCTCAGAGAGAGGTAGATGTCAAGGATTGGATTGCCCATGCTCCTATTCATGAATTATAATACTTGTGGAAAATAGTAAATGAACCAGTTAGAAACGACTCATGTTACGACTTAAGAATAGGTTGCTAAGAGAGGTAGAGGTTGGACCAGATTGAGATGGGGGAAATAGTGAAGAGAAGTTTCATCAGGTGGAATACACTAAAGGAGTTGACTTTGGATAGGAGTGTGTGGAAGTACTTAATTCATGTTGGATCCCTATGCATGTTCACCACTTTATGCTTTCTGTTAGGCTTCACCACCTCATTTTTTTGGGTTCATTTTAGCTTACCTGAACTAGTTTGCGATAAAGGACTTATTTTTGTAATGTTTTGGGAGGATATGTAATTTTATCTCTTGCTATATTTTCTTTCTCCTATATGCTCTATTCCGTAGGTTTGGAAGAAGTTTTATGGTCATCCTGTGGTGTAGGTCAGAGTCTGCAGGGAGAAGACAACAGGCTGTGTATATGCTATGAAAAAACTTAAGAAATCAGAAATGCTTCGTAGAGGCCAAGTATGTAATTTTCTGGTTCTGGATAATGTTTATGTTTCGTTTACCCTATATGCTGGCTGGTACTTAGTTTATAGATCACATTTAGGTTGAACATGTGAGAGCTGAAAGGAATCTGCTTGCAGAGGTGGACAGCAATTGTATTGTCAAGCTGTATTGCTCTTTCCAAGATGCCGAATATCTATATCTCGTAATGGAATATCTACCTGGTGGAGACATGATGACCCTGCTTATGAGAAAGGATACCTTGAATGAAGACGAAGCCAGATTTTATGTTGCCGAAACAGTTTTAGCTATTGAATCCATCCACAAACATAACTATGTACATAGGTATGCCTATAACTGGCTTTGGTATGTTTTACGAACTTCATTTCCACTTTGTATACTTATATTCCACTACGTTTTTTGCAACAGAGACATCAAGCCAGATAATTTGCTACTTGATAGATATGGTCATTTGAGATTATCAGATTTTGGATTGTGTAAACCTTTAGATTGTAGTACACTGGAAGACACAGATTTTTCATCTGTTGACAATGCGAGTGGAACTTCAACAAGCAATGAGCGCGCTGCAGCTCCAAGACGAACACAACAAGAACAATTACAGCATTGGCAGAAAAATAGGAGGACACTTGTAAAGAATCTTACTCCTACATACTCAATTTCTGCAACTATCTATAGTGGATTCAATCTTCTTTTTAGAGTAAAATGCATCAAAATGCAACAAAGTTTTGTTTGGTTCCTATTTAGTGTAACGAAGAACTTTTTTTCTCAATCAATGTAACAAATTTCAAATTTATTTTGTACCCATTTTGAGCGGAAACTTGTTGATCTTGTTACATTTGATGAATTGGATACCCGTTTATGAAAGGTTTACGAAATGTTTCCAAAAGGGTTAACAACTAAGTGGACGATAAACTTGACATCAACGTCATCAAATGTTACAAGATAAGCATGTTACCAGTCAAATTAGTAAATAAAGGAAAATTTGAAACTTTGTTACATTAAGTAGGAAATTTTAAAACTTTATTACATGGATTGAGGAAAAAACGTTACACTAAATAGGAACTAAGGCAAACTTAGTTGCATTTTGACGCATTTTACCCATCTTTTTTACATTGTATCACAATTGGTAGAAAAGTTTCTGGGGAGTGGTTCTCTTAAACTCAACACTGTGACATTGCAGGCTTATTCTACAGTCGGAACTCCTGATTATATAGCTCCAGAGGTTCTAATGAAGAAAGGCTATGCACTGGAATGTGATTGGTAAGTGCCCTACCAGCATTTCTTTATGGGTTCATGATGTTTTTGTAGAAACACTTCAGATTTTTCATACATTAAACCTGATTCCATTCATTATTTTTATTTTATTTTTATAATTTAAGAATCATTGCTTTGTATGTTCACACTCTTGGCTACAGTTGCTTTTGATTGCAATCGTTATCCAAATTTAAAGGTAGTAGGTGGTTTTCCTGTAAATTGAATAGGATGGTCTTACATCCTGACTTGCATCCTTTATAAATGGTTATGTAATTCTTGTTCTTCTTCAGGTGGTCCCTTGGTGCTATTATGTTTGAGATGCTTGTGGGGTATCCACCTTTCTACTCTGATGATCCGATGTCAACCTGTAGGAAGGTAGCCTATTATAAACCAATCTTCCACTTTTATTGAACCTAACTATTAACTGCTGCAGCTTTTTTGCAATCTATAAATGTTATTGTATTTTCAAGTACCTCCTTAGTTTTCTGTAATTTTCTCTTGGTCTCAAGTTAATGGCCAAAGGTCTCAAATTAATGGCCAAAATGTCTTCTATTTTAATCCCAGAACCAAACAAACCAGACAAGCCTAGTATATTCCACCTAGAGGTGAGGTGGGGTGGGGTGGGGGGTATGCAGACCTGATCTCCATCCTAAGGAGTAGAGGGGTTGCTTCCGTGAAGACCCTAGCTTGTGCAAAGTGTTTTATTTTAACTCCAAAATACAAGCTGATTGACGTTGTTCAGTTTCTAGTAACATTTACTTCCTCCTTGGTAATCTATAGAAATTCAAGTGCAATTCAACTTGGTTCTTCAGAATATTCCTCTTTTGATCATCCAGCTCTTTTGTTACTTCTGTTGGTTGTAGTTTATGAAAGTGTTCTATCATATACAACACAGTTTACTATAATTCTACACAACCCAAGTTTTAAGATGTCTAGTAAAGAAATAAATACAAACCCTTATAACCAAAACATGTGATTTTTTATTTGCAAAGATCTAACAGTGATCTCCTTAATTTTTATGTTGTAAGCAAAAGACATTTATTTTGAGACAGATGGAGTATGTTCATGTAAAGTCGATAATAGGTAAAGCTATGCATTCTCTTTTGCATCTAAATTGTTTATATTCTCTTCTATATCTTAACGTTTCTCAACTCATTTTATATGTGAAAAATCACTATTTTTACCTTTATTTTCCAATAACATATAGATTGTCTACATTCCAACATCACTCTTCTCACTTAAAGCAACTGGTCTGGTAACCTTCTTGTTCTACACCATAAGCTATTTGGTATTTCCCATTTGTTGGAGTCACAGATCGGCTAGACCTTTTCTCCTCAATGTACGTTGGAACTTCCCTACTTCCTCCGGGACTCTTTTGAAAAGTAATCTAACGGGTTCTAGATATTCTCACATGGTATCAGAGCCAAAAGTGTACCACTCTAGGGACTCGAGACTCTGGGTCAATCTGCACTCATTTATCCCCCTCTCGACACAATTGGGCAATGTGTCCGTCTAGTCTCCGTTGGAGGGGGCATGTTGGAGGCTAACATCGGCTAGACTTGGATCATTTTTCCTCAATATATATTGGAACCTTCCTCAAGGGCTTTTTTGAAACGTAATCTAATGAGGAGTGTTGGAGTCTCATATCGGCTAGACTAGAACCTTTTCTCCTCAATATATGTTGGAACCTCACTGCTCTTCTCAAGGGTTTTTCTGAAGAGTAATCTAATGGGATTCCACATATTCTCACACCATTATATAGATGATATGAAATTAATTAGACATGTAACGACTTCTATTACATATTATGGGTGCTAATTTTCTTACATTTGTAGATAGTAAATTGGAAAATGCATTTGAAGTTTCCTGAAGAAGCAAAGCTTTCGCTAGAGGCAAAAGATCTAATTAGCAAACTGCTTTGTAATGTCAACCAAAGGCTGGGTTCAAAAGGTGCAGATGAAATAAAGGTGTTGTATGGTGTGTCCTATTCTAGCTTCTTGGATTTTTCAAGCACCAAAGTTGAAACAAAATGACTTACTTTAATGTGTTGTTATGATATAGGCTCATCCTTGGTTTAGAGGAATCGATTGGGATAGAATTTATCAAATGGAAGCCGCATTCATTCCTGAAGTTAATGATGAGTTGGATACTCAAAATTTCGAAAAGTTTGAAGAGGTATTTTCTTCTATCGTACTCTGATTATATGACTCTCTTTGTCACACTTTTCACAAGCTGAGGGTTTTCATGGAAACCACCACTCTATCTTTGGGTAGAGGTCAGGTCTGCGTACATCTTACCCTCCCCAGACCCCACATCCTGTTGGGATATAATAGGTTTGTTTGGTTTGTACTTTGATTATATGCATGATGTATACATGAGCTTTCTCTTACATACTTTATTTTCTCGGTTGTTTCAGTCTGAACACCAAATTAATAGTTCAGCAAGATCTGGGCCGTGGAGACGGGTAAACTTGCTCTCTTGACTTCATAATGGGCATTCACAATCTCGTGTGCTCCTTTATAAAGATATGATACCGAATATATATGCATAGTACAACAAAATTGGTTTATATGACGTCATATTATGTCTGAGGGGGTGTTTGATAAGAGGTATTAAGCAGTCAAGATCATCGAATATAAAATAAATTATTTGGTTTTATATAATATAATGGGTTCATCTCCCAGAAGCCGTCATTATCATTCCCCGTCATTATCATTCCTATGCCTGAACCAAACAGCCTCCTAGTGTCCTAGTGTATCCTAATAGACTGCTTAATAGGACTTATGTTCATAGGAGGCTTATATAAATGTGTTACAATAAGTTGATAGGAGGCTTGTGGGTGTTCTAACAAGTTTTTTAGGACAATTTTAAAATAAAGTGTCATATTAGATTTTTATATGACATTATTTAAAAAAGTATCTTAGAGAAACAACTGTCCTATAAAAATTTGTTGACAAGACATGTCTCAAAAATGTCATATAAAAAAGCTACTAAAACACTTTATTTAAAAAATATCCTAAAAAACTTGTGAAGATGTGTAAATAAGTATGGACATCCTGTCGTAACACCTTTATATAGGACACACATTTATTTGATCTTATAAACCTAAGATCTATAAAGCAGTTTATTAGGACATTTAGACCTCTATGGCATCCTATAAAGCGATTTTGTTGTAGTGGCATATGTCGGGTTGTCATTATTATGTCTCTTGTTTTCCTCCTCACTATGCCGTTTTCTTTAAATCATCTGCAGATGCTTTCATCCAAAGATATCAACTTTGTTGGATACACATACAAGAACTTTGAGATCGTTAATGATTATCAAGTTCCCGGAATGGGTATCCCTCTCTTTTTCTCTCATCAACCCAAGTAGATATAGGATGCTATCATCATAGTTTAAGCTTTCCATTTCATGATGCAAAATCAAGACTTTAAACTAGAAGTCAGTGGTGGAGGTATGGTCTGTGTACATCATACCCTACCTGGTGGGATACTGGGATATACTAGGTAGGTTTGGTTTAAGCTGGTAATCAATGTCAATGGTGGAGATATGGTCTGTGTACATCATATCCTCTTCAGACCCTACCTCCTAGTGGGATATACTGGGTACGGTTTAAACTAAAAGTCATTGCTATGTAAGAATTAAGATCAAGAGTAAACTATGTTTTTCATCCCTGTGGTTTGTTAAAAATTGCGATTTTCATCTTTGTGGTATAGAAAAATTGCACGGTTTTCGTCCCTATGATTTGTAATTCATTGCTATTTTTGTTCTTTTGATTTACAATTTATTGTTGTTTCATCCCTGTGATCTACAATTCTTTACTGTTTTGGTCATTTGTACTTTAAAGGCAGGAATTAATCCAGGGACGAAAATTGCAATTTCTAAACGACAGAGACAAAAATCGAAATTATTAACAAACCACAAGGACAAATTTATAATTTACTCTAAGATTAAAGTTGATGACATTATTCAGAGCTCATGATTTTAGAATTTGCACATGCCTTTCTTCTTAAATATATAATATTTATATACGACAAATATTCACACACTCCTCACCAACGTTTGAACCCTTAACCTTGTAGAAGGCTCGGCTTTACTAATTACCTGAATACCGTTAGGCCAATGATTCTTTGGTGATTTTCACCGGTCTTCTAAGTTCGTAACATTGATTCATCTTGTGTCATATTTATTGTTGCAGCTGAACTTAAAAAGAAAAGCAACAAACCGAAGAGACCAACAATCAAGTCACTATTCGGTATGCTTCTTTCGTTCTTTTATTCACTACAAAACCCTCTAAAACAACTACTAAAACCATCTCCAAAATTTCTCGAAAATGGAGAATGGAACTTCAAAATCTCTAAAACAAAAACACATTCAACTCCAACAGATTCTTCATTTTGGAAATTACAACATTAATTACATTATTAAAATATTTCTTTTATCTAATAAAATAATATTTCTCTTTCTAAATATTTATTTTCATAGTTTCCTACTGGGAGAAACATATTAAATAATATTTCTGTCTCATTGTAATCATTTTTGAAGTGATCTCCAAATTTAGAGATTTTTACACTACCTCTCCTACTTTTTCCATTTTGGAGAATCTGTTATAACAACAAAAAAATGCCTAAAATCTACATTTTCTCTGTTTTGAGAATCTGTTGGAGATGTTCCCAAGTTTTTTTTATTCACACAGACAGTCTCTTTTTCAAAATGCAAAGGCAATGTAGTCATTTGTCGTTATCTGAAAAATAAAAAATATAAATCAAATATGCATAAAATAATTTGGGAAAACCTTCATTAGTCCATCTAGTAATGAACACAAATCATGTGCCACAAAATTCCTTGTCCTTTTCCTATCCATCAATCCATCCCCGGCATATCATTTAATTTTACTGGGAAAAAAGAACAACAGAAAGATAAATTAAATAAATATATATTGAAGGCTATTTTCAACGATCGTTGATTTGTTGAGTCAATATACTTCATGCTACAAAGGAAAAACTCCATGTCTCTTCTTTGTTCATCAATCCACCCGACCCTGACATATCATCATTTTCTTGAAAAGAGAAAATAAAAATAATAAATTAAATAAATGTGTCAGAAGTTGATTGGTGGGACAACGAGGAGATATAGAGTTTGAATCCATATGATTTGTATTTTATATATAAAAGTGAGTAAGCTTTCTTTTTCTTCCGGTGTGGGACAAGTATTCCCCACATTGAAGACTATTTTCAGTGCTTGTTGATTTAATATACTTTGTTTTATAGAGGAAGAACCAGAAATAGACACAGATGGTTCTGAGACGGCTGCAAACGGATCGTATTTAAACCGGTTGCCACCAAAAACAGAAGTTTCTGAAAAACAAAAGCACAAGGGATAACATCAACTCTTCGGGTTTATTTGGCTAAAATCGTTGCAAAACGACTCATTTCAACTTATAATTTAGTGTAATTTTTCTTCACTTTAAGTTGCTATCATAATCTCTACTTCATATTTCACTGCAAAAATGACACATAAAATGGTCTAAGTAGGCGGCAACAAAACATATTATAAGCTATCAATATATAGAGCATCATAAATGATATTTTAAGACATGTATTTTCGTTTTATACAGTTTTATTTGTGTTTTGAAAATTGTATTTTAATTGGGTGGTAATTTTAGGGAGGTAGCACTTGTATATTTTCAATATCTGAATATGAACTTAAATTCACTATTCATGGGATATTTCGGGGGTCAATTTGTAATCTTTATGACTTCTCTTACAAAATACTGAAAAACAAACATCCCTCCTAACAGTGTAGTAACCTCATTTTTTTAGAGGTCAAGAATTCAAATCCGAATAAAGGTAAAGATATGTCGAGTTTAATTTGACATATATAAATATTAAAATAAACTCAAATTAGGTCCTTGTGATTTTTCGAAAATAACACTTTTCATCCTTACATTTTTAAAATTACAAGATAACCATCATGGTTTGCAAAAATGCCTAAATTTGGTCCCTCCCTCTAACGACCGTTGAAAAATGTTGTTAAATGAGGGGTATTTTTGTTCTTTAATCGAGTTTTTTGTTTTTTACCTAATCAAAATTGATTTTATGATTTTGGTCCTCGTGTTTTTTATCAGGTAAAAAACAAAAAAAAAATCGATAAAATAAAGAAAATGCTTCTCATTTAACATAATTCTTAACGGTTGTTAAAGGGTGGGACTGCATTCAAACGTTTTTTTTTTGTAAACCACGATGGTTATCTTAGAATCAGCTTAAACCGTACATTAAAAATATAAAAAGGTAACACTGATGTTGATATATGTGAATAAGAAATAGTAGATATCTTTCATTTAACAAGTAACGGTATGTCTAATTATAAAGTTATAACATATGAGTTCATATATAAGCAGACCTAAATGAAATGGTTGCCTATTGGGCTTGGGTGGGCCCGACATTTTAAAACTTAGTCCATGGCCCATCCAAAACCTGAAATTATACAAGTGGAAATGGTCAAAAGACAATCCCGACTCCCGGGTCGGGTCAAACCGAGATTTTCGTTTTGTAACCGGTCTCGATCCAAACTAAAAATACCCTGCTCGTTCTCCATGTACAAAGCTGGTCACAAAAACTGGTTCAAAAAAAAAAGTTGAACATATACAAATCTTGTTTGAAGATTTTTTTGAACAATATCTTATTGAAATATACTTTAAAATCTCTAATTGGGTCATTTAGACGCACTTTAAAAATATATTTTTATATATTTTTATATAAAAATGTTATAGATGTTTTTATAATTATGATTTTCTATATTTAGTATTGGAACACTTAAAAAGTCTTGAAAAATTTTAAAAAACTTGTAGAAATATTAAAAAGCTTGATATTAAATTTACAAAAACTTAATTTAAAAAAAAAAACTTGATCTATTTACACCCGGTCTCAATCCCGTGACCAGTCTTGGGCCGAGGCTTGAATTTTCATATAAAACGTAAACGGTCCCGGTTCCAGTCCTAAACCGGCCCCGGGGTGGAGCAGACCCAATTTGGCCATATACAAGTAACGTTGAATATTGCTTGCATCTATTAATACCTATTGTTCTAGAAATTATAAACTTTTTTCTACGGAATTAATATATATATATATATATATATATATATAAGGCTTTAAATGACGTGTGACGTGACATGACATGTTGACGATGTCTAGCCTTTAAGTCTTACAAGCTACGATGATGCCACAATGTTTTTCAAAACGTGCCCTAAGTCTTTTGAATAATAATGTAGAACAAATTGAAATCTTATATAAAATAATTAAACAAAAAAGAAAGAAGAATCACTGCTACCAGATATCTAGAGCCTATAAAAAATGACATCAAGGTGCAAAGAATTCGTGTTCGACTCTTCTTGTTCGGGGTTGAAAGTAAGTATTTACCTATTTAAACTTTTAGTTGTTAAATTCCGCTTTAATGTTTATTTAAGTGACACTTTTTGTCTTCGCAGTTTCAAAATTACAACGAGACTGTTGTGGTTTGTATAAACGTCATGATTGAGTCCCTCTTTTAACGGTCGTTAAAAGGTTTCGTTAAATGAGCAGTATTTTCATATTTTTATCGATTTTTTTGTCTTTTACCCAATCAAAAACACACAATCATAAAATGGATTTTGATTGGATAAAAGACAAACAATCAATAAAAGGACGAAAATGCATCTTACTTAACGGAATCTTCTAACTATCGTTAGAGGATGGGACTAGATCAGAACATTTTTGAAAATGACGATAACTATCTTATAATTTCAAAACTATAGGGACAAAAAATAATAATTTTTGACAAACTACAGGGACCAAATTTGACTCATTTAACAATTAACAGGATGTGATGGTCGAAAAGTCATTTTTATAAGACGTAATAAATAGGCTGGTTTAACACGTGGAAGAAGTCAAGACACTTGGAGGCCACACTACTCCACCTGTAATTTTCTATTTACTCACGTTTTTCATGCATCTATTAATTAATAAAAAAATATAATTTTTATAATACGTGTGATAAATCTAAATAAATATTATTATTAATTATTACAATTTTTCAATTAATTACCAATTAATAATTATTACGTCATAATATATTTTGAAAGTTATTTTTGGCTTGTTTTATTAATAAGTATAAAATTCCTAATTTTTTTAATTTGGTTCCATGATAGAGAGTGAAGATGAAAAAGAAACCCTTATTTAATAGTTGTTAAATGGTTTAATGTAAAATAATTAAGTGGTCAACAATGATTCATAGGCTCTCATAATATAGTGCGAAATAAAATATAACTTTTTAATAATTGTTTATAACGAAATTAGGACGTTTAAATCATTCAGAGAGTTTTAGAACCATTAAAAAGATAATTTTTTTTGCCAAACAAGATTCAAATTTTAATCATTCAGAGACCGGCTCTTAATGAAACTATTAAGAGGCAAACAAACAACCCCTAAGTCCAGTGTGAGTTAGGCTTTTCTGAGTCTGAAGTCTGGTCTGGACCATGTCTCAAAACCCGGATCTGGGTCGGAAAAACTCAAGCTGGAAAAGCTCGATTGTGTCGGGCTTTAAAAAGTTTAGGCCTTCTTTTTACTATTTAGAACAGGTTTAGAAGACTCGGGTCCAAACCCAAAAATACTGAGCTTTTTTTTTTAATCTCTAATGTAGTATTCTCAAATTTAAGAGAAAGAGAAGAAAGAAAAGCTTTAATTAGTATTCTTGGTGAAGAATAGAAGAAAGAAAACACGGTTTCATGTTGTTGAGCATGAAAAAAAGGAAAAAAAATACATTTTTTTTATAAATATATCTGTATTTATTTTACCATCAAATATAATTTATTTAATTACATTTATTAATCTGGATATCTAATTCGTTATTTCACTTATGTTTTTAAAAAAGTCAAATTTGTTGTTGGAAAAATAACGTAACCAAGAAAGATGAAAACGTGTTTTGAGTAGTCAAATAAAGAATAGCGAATGGTTTAACCCCAAATCAATTCAATGATAATCAACTCATTATTTTATGAACACTACTACATGCTTTCCTCTTTCTTCATCCTCCTCCTCACGATCCTTCCCATCTCCAATCTTCTTTTATATTCAATTCAATCCAATCCATTCCATTCCATTCCATTCCATTCATCTCTTTTTAACTCTCCAAATCACACATCAATTTATCTTCCCCTTTCCCCCATCTCCTTCCTCAATCCTCGCTCGTTTGTCCCCTCCCACCCGCGTATTTCTACCAATAACCATCAAGGGTGTTCTCAATTTTGTATTATTTCCACTTAAATTAGTTCTCAAAACCCTCTTTTTCTTAATCGAAAGCCAGTGTTACTGTATTCTTTCAAACAAATCTCAATTGGGTGTTTCTTGATTTTGTACAGTGTGTTGGTTTGCTAGTCGATTTGTAGCTTTTCATCCAAATTTTGGGGTTTATTTTTGAGATTATCAACTAGGGTTTAGTTTAATTTTGAGGTTTTTAAATTAGCTATACGTGAATCTGATTTGGGATTTAGAGTTTATTGAAGAAAGAATCATGGATCATGTTGTTGGTGGGAAGTTTAAGCTTGGAAGGAAAATTGGGAGTGGATCTTTTGGTGAACTTTATTTAGGTATTTATTTGATTTTTTTTTACTGTACTTGGTCATCATTGATTGAAGGCTTTCATATCTGAATTTGATTCTTAAATAGTTATTAAATCTTGTTGTTTGATGATATGCAGGTGTTAATATTCAAAGTGGGGAAGAAGTTGCTATTAAGCTGGTATTGACTTCAATTCTTGATCATTGTTTCTAAGATTATAATTCTTTTATTTGGTTTCTTGATACATTTGATCTTGAAACTAAGAGCATGTTCTTAATGGGTTTAATGAGACTCGCATCTTATTCAGTTAGCTATATATGATTGTTTGGTAGTGGCTTAAGGATATAGAAAGTAGCTTATCCAGAAGCTTGTAAGCTTCTGGAGGGGAGCTTTATGCAAAAAGCCAAGTGTTTTTCACCTACCCTTCCCAATGAAAAAAATGGTCCTTCCCTCTATGAAAAACCCTCTCAAACAAAAACCTTGTCAATCTATATAGACGGATTAATCCACACGGGCAACTTTATCCATACATGACTCACTGAAAAACCAACCAAATAATCCCCTAGATGGTATACAATGTTTCTGATTTTGGGATTAATTTTTCAAACACCAAGTACTTGAATTGAATCTTTTTTGTAGCGGATAAAGAGTGTTTCTTGTTAAAAACCCGAAGAAATTAGCAGTTTTGTGGAATTCTATGAACACATCACAGTACAATCCTTTGTTTTCCTTATGTATTTGGTTGCATTGTTGCAACAACTATGGTTTATTGCAATGAGAGGTGAAATCTTGATGGTTTGAAAAGTTAATCACTAGGTTTTTCCATTAGATATTCAAGATGAATCTCGTGATAGATATCCATGATGAATAATATGCATGATTATTCAGGGTTATTCATCATGAATAAATTATAATAAATGAAATAGGTGGTCCCTAGTTCTCAAAATATTTATGGTTCTCATTTGAAGCTGCCCTTATGTGTGTGTCTGTGTGTGTGTATAGAGAGAGAGAAAGGTTCAGGCAAAAACCCAAAAAAATGAAAAACTGAGGAACACCCTGTTAATTATTCATCTGGATGGTATGCACATGTGCGTACAAGTAATTGCAGTTATTTTTTGGTTTTTATGCACCTGCGCATGTTATGCATACCAGACAAATTGCTTAAAAATTACTTATATGCACATGTGCATACCATCCAGATGAATGGTTACTAGGTGTTCCTCAGTTTTTCATTTTTTTGGCGGTTTTCCTCAGAACCTGACCCTATATATATAAATATATCTAAATATACCAATGACCATGCCTGTTGAACGGTTTTTAACTTTTTAACTGCTTTGATGAGTTCCATCCCTCTTAAACCTTAATATCAAATCTAAATTAGTTTCTATGTTCTTATTATACTCTCCAGGAATCTGTCAAAACGAAGCATCCTCAACTTCATTATGAATCGAAAATATACGTGCTTCTCCAAGGAGGAAGTGAGTCCTGGTCTCTGTTTTTTTCTTCGGCATTTCAATTAGCTAAATGACGATTTTATCCTTAATAATTGAGGGAGTAATGAATTTCTCCATGTCATAATTAAGGGTATAATCGGAAAGTATAGTGTTTTCCGCGCGTTTTGGGAAGAATGATGTTCAATATCAAGCACAATTGTTCATAACAGTTGGTCATTCAGTTTTTATAAGGTCATACTTTCGTCTGATAATTTGTTTACATTATTAATGAAGCTGGAATACCGAACCTCAAGTGGTTTGGTGTCGAGACGGAGTATAATATCATGGTTATCGACCTTCTTGGACCGAGCCTCGAAGACCTTTTCAACTATTGTAGTAGAAAGTTCACCTTGAAAACGGTTCTAATGCTTGCAGATCAACTAGTAAGAAAGCTTATGGGAACTCAACTTCATTAAAGAACGTTCTTTGAAATCAAAACCTTTTCTCATTTCTACCAATTTTCCGCAGATAAACAGAGTCGAGTACATGCATGCGAGGGGTTTTCTTCACCGTGACATAAAGCCCGACAATTTCCTAATGGGTTTGGGCCGCAAAGCTAATCAGGTAGTTGTTCGATTTATTTAGCCTCTACATCACTTCCTTTTGCACTTTTTAGTGGCATGCGTATCTTTGTGGGTTCTTTTTACGACATTTGAAAAGTAGTCTCGTTATTGTGCTCTAAAACATTAAACATGCACTTCTTTTTAGCAAAGGGCCATTGCTTGGCGGTACCCGGGTTACCAGTAGAGCCCAGCCTCCCACTAGGTCAGAGGGTGGCTCATACCCGTTTTGCACAACTTTTTGCAAAATTGGTGGTAGTTTAAAACCTGTTTTCTTTTATTGCTAACCATTTTGTTTCAGAATTTTGATTAATTGGTTTATGTTAAATGGTAGTTAAATAATTGGATGTCAAAATCATAACTCGATTTTACTATAAGGTAGAAAAAACATATCAATATTGGAGCAACGGTATGTTAAATTTCATGGATCCAACTTCTGAGCTCGGTTATCATCTGATTGCCCTTGTCTTGGCAGGTTTACGTCATTGATTTTGGCCTCGCGAAAAAGTATAGAGATCTTCAAACTCATAAACACATACCATATAGGTAAATCCATCTTTCGAAAATTTATTACCTTTTTTTGTTAGTGTGTTCTGTATCTTATCTACTTTATGGCCAATTATGATCCCATGGAGCAAATTCTGGATCAATTAGGATTTTTGAAGTAAATATATAGGGCTAGATTCAGGGGAAACCCGCAAAAAAAATGAAAAACTGATGAACACCCTGTTAACCATTCATCTTTACGGTATGCACATGTGTATACAAGCAATTTGTAAGTAATTTGTTCGGCATGCACAAATGCATAACATGCACATGTGCATGGAAACCAACAAACAACTTCAATTACTTGTATGCAATATTAGATGCATGGTTACCAGGGTGTTCCTTAGCTTTTTCATTTCTTTGAGGGTTTTCCGTTGAACGTCCCCCCCCCCCCTTTCTATCTATCTATCTATCTATCTATATATATATATATATATATAGAGAGAGAGAGAGAGAGAGAGATATAGGGTTGGGTTCGGGTGAGAAGTGAAATTATGGTGAGAAGCATAAAAAGAGAGGGGGGGGGGGTTCATGGAACAGCCGAAAGTCCCATACTTTTGCAAAAAAAGAGGATCCGTGGTGCACGAGGGTCACCTCCTAAATGCTAATAGCTTATCTGGGTTATGTTTTTCTTGTACCGACTTCTATTTGTATGCTATTGCTTACACTTAACCATCTTTTCAAAACTTTATCTCCTCTAACTTTCTCGAGGTCTTTATGGAAACGACTGCTCTACTTTTTTGGGGTGGTGGTCAGGTCTTCCTACATCTTACCCACCCCGGACCCCCACCAATATAATTGGTTCATTTGGTTTGGTCTATGCTCAATCCCTGATTGCATTTATCTATGTTGGGTTTTTGCTTCATCTTTATCTTGTTTGTGTTTTATTTGTCGTCTTTTCGTGTCTATTTATACTCGATCGTAAGCATTTCGGATTGACGCTCAACTATGAACTTGTTTTGAAAAAATTTCAGGGAAAACAAGAATCTCACGGGCACCGCTCGCTATGCAAGTGTCAATACGCACCTTGGTGTTGGTGAGTTCTAAAAAAGGCATAAATTTTAGAAATGTGTAATTAATACACATTTTATCTAACCATATGACAATTTTACCGTTATTAACAAAATGAAGTTCTCCATCTCATATTAAGGGTAGAATATGAAAGTAGACACTTATTTTGGGATGGAGGGAGTACTTTTAATGAAGATTTTGTTAAAGATTTTGATGCATTTAGATACTTAAATCTATATATGATCATGCAGAACAAAGTAGACGGGATGATCTTGAATCTCTTGGTTACGTTCTTATGTATTTCCTAAGAGGAAGGTGAGCAGATGTGTTGTTTTTTTGCCAATCTTTCATCTTATTTTTTCGACCCCGTGATTGTCGTTTATCTCCCGTGCTCTAACCGAAATCCTACGTGTGTCCTAAGCCTTCCGTGGCAGGGACTGAAAGCAGGAAACAAGAAGCAGAAATACGACAAAATAAGCGAAAAGAAGATGTTTACTCCAATAGAGGTATTATATATACCCCTGTGTTCTTTGATCAATTAATCATATAAGTAAAACAGGAAGGATACACACACATATACATACATACATCATATATGTAATGTAGACACATGTATCTATGTACATACATTAAATGTATAGACGAAAGTTCAAATGAGAACCATAATTTTTTTGAGAACCTGGGAACCAACTATTTCACGTATTATTCATTATGAATAACCCCGAATAATCATGAATACCATGCATTTTCATTGTGAATATCTATCACGTCATTCATCGAATAAAACATGAATAGTTGGTTTTCATGTTCTCAAAATATTCACGGTTCTCATTTCAACCTCCCCTTAGATGCATATACATACATCTATATATGTAGCGCACCACATGTGTCTATGTACATACATAAATAAATATATGTGTGTGTATATATATATAGAGAGAGGGAGGTTCAGGGAAAAACCCCCAAAAAATGGAAACTGAAGAACATCTTGGTAACTGTTCATCTGGACGGTATGTACATATGCATACAAGTAATTGAAGTTGTTTCTTGGTGCACGTGTGCATGTTATGTAGATGTGTATACAAGACAAATTGCTTACAAATTACTTGTATGCACATGTGCATACCGTCCAAATGAACAGTTACCAGGGTGTTCCTCAATTTTTCTTTTTTGCGGTTTTCCCTGAACCTGACCCTATATATACATATATATACATATATATACATATATATATATATGTATGTGTGTGTGTGTAGGGGACGTTTCATTTACAAATCATCCAATTCTAACAAACCAATCTTAGCCGTCCATCTAGTCTAATAAATATATGATTTCATTTTATTTCCTAATCTAAAGCCATGATTTGAATGAACCTTATCGTCTTCCATATATATCTCAATCATAAAATTAATGAATCATGATCATTGTCCATAAATATCTCTATTGTTTCCCAATATAAGCATTGATTATGGTTTGTATAGTTTGTTAGAATTAAATGGTTTGTAAATGAAATCTCCCCTATATATGAATATATTGAAAAAGCTAAGTTCTTGCCGTTTATAGTTAATTAATTTCCTGATAATCGAGCAATTTGAATTTTACATCGATGGAATCTTGTTCAACAGGTGCTATGTAAATCATACCCATCGGAGTTTATATCGTATTTCCACTATTGTCGATCATTGAGATTCGAGGATAAACCTGACTATTCGTATTTGAAGAGGCTTTTCCGAGACCTATTTATCCGCGAAGGTCAAAACTCACAATCCAATTTAAACATTAACGTTTCATAGGAAACTATATTACAATCACTGAGCTTTTTTTTTCTGATTCTTCATCTCATGGAAATATCATAATCGCAGGATATCAATTCGACTATGTGTTCGATTGGACCATATTGAAGTACCCTCAAATTGGTGCCAGCTCCAGAGGACGAGTAAGTACAAATTGTTTACAATCCGATAGGGTCAGCTTCAGAGCAAAATCGCAAAAAAAATAAAAAACTGAGGAACGCTAGTTACCATTCATTTGCACTCTATGCACATGTGCATACAAGTAATTCATAAGTAATTTTTCCAGCATATGCACAGGTGCATAACATTCACACGTGCGTAGAAACCAGGAAACATCTTCAATTACTTGTATGCACATGTATATACCTTATAGATGAATGGTTATTAGGGTGTTCCTCAGTTTTTCATTTTTGGTTGGGTTTTCCTCTGAACCTCCGTCTACCACGATATACTCCCTCCATCCAAAATAATAAAGGCGCATAGTTTTAGAAATGTGTAATTAATACACTTTTTAATTAATTAAATGACAATTTTACCCTTAATAATTGAGGGAGTAAAGAAATTCTCCACCATTTAATTGAGGGTAGAATTGGAAAGTATATACACTTAATTTTGGAACGAGATAATTATTTTGGGATGGAGGGAGTATCTTTATAAGAACGTATACTTATTTCCTGCCATTTTTGGCAGCCGATTGGTGGGAGTGCAGGTGTAAACGCTGGAACGTCAGCCGAAAAGCCTGGAAGAACCTCAGGTATAGACCCTGTAAATGAAACACAAATACCATTTAGATACAATTTGTCGAATCGTACGTTGTTAAATGATTTTGAGGCAACGTTCACTTCATTTTTGATTTTTAGATACAAAGAGAAATCTTTGAAGCTATATTTAGCAAACTAGATGATAAGCTAGATGTTGGCTGATAAACTAGTCATGTTTGGTAAAAGCTAGCTGATAATGTAAAATGACTTCAAAAGGAAATAATAAGAACTTAATCGGAACAATGTAAGTGGCATAATTGAAAATAATCCCCCGGAGCCTAGTGGGTCACCAAAAAAAGTATTTGTAACATCCCATCACACATCTCCGTGCAACATGATTTTAAGTTAATTTGGAACTTATTGGGCCAGTCTGCTACTTTGGGTTTGTCATTCAGCACAACAAACAAATGGCAATTGATCTTAACCATACATGAGGTTGGTTGGTTGGTTTTTTATTAAATCCTATATGGATAAAGCCGTCTATGTGGATTAATCTGTCTGGATAGATTGGGAGGGTGTTTGTTCAGAAGGGGGTTTCATAGATGGAAGGAGCGTGTTTTTTAATGGGAGGGGTAGGTTTGGAAAAAACTCGTCTTACTGAATAAAGCTTCTCCTAAAAGCTTACTGAAGAAGCCACTTTCTATGTTATTAAGCCACTACAAAATAAGTTGTGAATCCCATTAGGCTCATTATTTGCTAACAAATAGGCCGTTTATGGAAAAACAACCAAACAGCCCCTTGTCCCTAGAATCACTAAACCTTCTAGAGTCTTCTAGATCCTTCCGTTGAGAATGCTTCTTTTGGCGATTCAGTAGGCACATATCGAGCGTTTTCACGGTGCCCGTGTGGTGTATCCGAACCAAAGGAGTTTCGGGTCTGAAACTAACGACCGCGACTTGCTTCTTTTTGTGCAGCTGGTCAAGATATCCGTGATAGAGTCTTGGGTGCAGTAGAAGTGTTTTCGAGAAGAAATTCTTCGAAAGATGTGGTAAACTTTATATCCTTAAAAGTTAAAACCCGAATCTGATTCTGTAACGAAGATCGTACTAACTCGAGCTTATAATTTCTTGATCCACAGCAACCCGATTCTGAAAAACTTCGATCATCTCGAAACGGGGATTCGTCAAAACGGGCTGCCATCGCTGGTGGCAGACCAACCTCCTCAGGTGAAGCAACCGAAGGCCGGTTAACCCGTCATGTCTCGAGCAGCGCTGGCCGCTTGTCGACCACTCATCGAGTCCAACCTGGGTATGACACCAAACTGTCGGGTTTTTCTCGTACCGCAAAGGGCGGCGGCCATGACGATGCGCTCCGGAGCTTAGAGTTTCTCTCGATCAGGAAGTGAAAAAACCTCCATTTTATTCAAGTAATTTTAGCTCTTGCAAAAATGGATATCGTGGTTTCTACGCTCACTCGACCCAGCCGAACCCGAAACACGAGTCTCGTGTCACCGGAATGTATTACTACCATGACATGTGGGGCATCTTGAATAAGCGAAAAGGGTATTACCCGTTGTAAATTTCGTTGTCGGTTTTGCACTTTTCGAGCATGATTTTAAATGAAACTTCATAAAAATCTTTCGTGTTCTTCGTGTTATATCGGTATTAATGACACTCTGTATAAAGGAAAATTTAGTAACATCATTGGTTTTTATCTGTTCTAAGGTTTCGATAGATCTTCTATCCGGTTTACATTTATCTGTAGTGAAATGTAAACGTTGCTCGTTACTTATCATAGGGAAGATTTAGTATTCGATAATCGACGTTTTGATCAGGCTACCGTCCAATCGGCTCGTCGCAATAGAAAAGGTTCTAAATTGACGTGCGTGCAATAGAAAAGGTTCTAAATTGACGTGCGTTTTCTTAAGTTAGGCGTCGTCTATAAAAACGCTTACTCAAGTAAGTGAACACTAAGTCACATTACCTTACGGGATGAATATGGTAAGAACCAAGAATCTTACTCGGTAAGAACGAGACAAGAACCAAGAGTCTTACCCGGTAAGTGAGGGTGACAACCCTTACCACGGTAAGCGCTTATCAGGTAAATTGTTGTATACGATACCGTTTTTGTGGACTAAAATCTTACCCAGTAAGTAGATGATAATGTTAAATTTTACCGGTAAACGCTTACGATAGTGTCATTACATGTGGTATTACAGTTTACAAATTTATCACCTTTTAGCTGTTTTTTTATTAACCTAGATATTTAACCCGCTATGTTAATTATTTCTTTTTTTTATAACATTGAAAAAGAAACTACTTTTTGCCAAAAAAAAAAAAAAAAAAAAAAAATCTTGAGAATCTCTAACAGCTTCTCCAAACAGAGAAAACATGGTTTTTAGAGTCTTTTACGCTCTAACAACTTTTAGAAAAACTTTTCCAATGAAATAAAGAGAAAAATAGAGGAAAAAGTCATTTATTATATTATTAAATATTTCAATACTATAATTATTTTTGAAATCTAAAAAATAAGAAACTGTTGAAGTCTTACTGTAATTTTATTGGAGATTTTGAATTTTTTTTCATTTTAGAGTAATTGTGAGGGAGTGCTTGTTTAGAGGTATTAAGCAATAATTAATGAAAATAAAAATAAAAGAAACTGTTTGATTTTCTATAATATAATGAGCTCATTCCTATAGAAGCCCAATATTTCATTTCTGGTTAAATTGGGGGAACTGAAAATTCATTCACATTTTCATTCTCAGTCATTTTCATTTCCCAGTATTAGCCAAACAGACCTGAATAACTTTTGTAGATGGTTAGATGCTCTTTTATGACCGTAGTTTTTACAATTAATATATATATATATATATATTAATTATTTTGTGCTTTTGCTAAAAAAAATTCGTTGTTTTCTGATATGGTTTAAAAATGTAAGTTAAATTTATTGAATAAAAAATTGATAATAGTTTTCAGATGTCAGCAACGAAAAAAATGTTGATCCCAATACCTTTTGATACACATGAAACATGATATCATGAAAAATTTCCTTATATGGAGAATATAACATTTATTTTATAATTATCTATGGAATATAATCTGTAAGCAATTAACCAATGGCGTATTTATCGTTACACGTTTATCATCCATTGCTTGGAACTGTTCCAATGACATTTTCGCCATCGGGTATCAGCACAACCATCTCCTAATACAACAGTAGGTTATAAAAACCTCTAAATTCACGATTTTTGAATCAATAAACATGATAATTAACTATGGACATGTGCTTCTTGTGATATATCAGTTAAAGCGTAACTGGAGAATATTTTGACAGCTAATAAAATCCAAAATTTGAATATGTAATCTTTTTAGTTTCATATGATCCTACATGATATCTTCTCATAAAGTTAAACTTTTAAAGATCGACCATACAACTGGCACTTGTAATACTGAACCCCGTCACCACTCTATCCCTACCCCCCTCATGCCCCACACTTCACCCTACCAACAAATTTTTGTATATGATTCTCCCCCCTCATGCCCCACCCCCCACCCTACCAACAAATTTTTGTATATAAAGAAAACCACTTAACCAAGGTTCACATTATCAAACACATTAGGGATGGAAGGTAACCAAGAAATTGCATGTTTCATTTGCAACAAAATTTGCAAAAACTCTCACATGTTGATCCATCATTTGGATCTACATTTGAGTGTTGCAGCCAATCGAGCCAGACAGGCAAACAATGCGCCACCTCGACCAGCGATTCTCTTCACTGATCCGTTGCAGCTCAGGATGGCTCCACCCTCTCAGCCGTTACAGTCGATTCAGCTCCCACCGGCTCCACAAACCAACCAAGCCGCGATTCGCAATGAGCGGGGAGAAAATGGAGTTTCAACAACTCTCACTTTGAGACCACCTTCTGGCTGAGCATTTCTGTGTTCCAGTCATAAATTTGTTGTGTTTTATCAGAGTCGTCTGGTGTAAGTTCTATTAGAGTCAGCTTTCTTTTTCAGTCGTATGTCTTGAAGTTATTGCTTGGAAAATGTGTTCTATTTATCATTTTATGTCAAACTCCGGACGATTTCAATGAAAAAAATATGGTTGTCCAGTGACCGAGTATTGCTTATTTGTTCTATAAAAGATATCAAAATAACACCTGTAAAAAAACACAATATAAACGATGAATTAAATTAATTCCCAAATATTACGATAATTTATAAACAAAAAACTTCCACCACGAATTAAATTTATTTGTGCATATCAGAGATTTTGTACGTTGATTATGTATTTCGCATGATCTAAGGGGATGTTTGGATGCAGTACATAATTGGTTATTGTAATTTGAAGTTGAAATAACTTATTCTTTACAGTTGTACAGTGTGACAAATCTGATTACGAAGTTTTGGTTTTTTTAATATTAAAAAATAATCAAATCTTGAGAAACATTTAATAAACTGCTACGACATTATTGATATTTGAAGGTAAATATAGAATTATCTGATTATCCATAACACCAGTGATCGAAATTTTATTTTTATTCTTCGACAATAACAAATTTTGATCTATTTAGAGTTTTTATGAACATAAATAAAAGATAATTTTGTTTTTATTTTCTCTACATGTTTTAGAAATGGAAAAATTGTATGAAAAAGTAACGTACTTTAATTTGATTTTTGGGTAACGTATTTTCAAAACTTTCATTTTGATACCTAAGATGTAATATTTTAAACATTTAAGTACCGGGGTAAGCGGTTGAAGATTAACTTGTTACCATGTTGATGTGGCGAGTGATATGGTATCCAACTCAGTATTATTTGTTATTCAACCCAATTTCATCTCATCATTCGTCACATCAGCATGGTAACTGGTTAATGCTTCAACCGGTTACACAGGTACTTAAATATTTAAGACTTTTTCATGCAATTTACCCTTTAAAAATATTCAATTATGATTATTATTTAACACAATTAGTGAATATTCAACAACTAGATTTTTATATCCCGTTGTGTAGAATCTTTATGGTTAGAGCAACGATGTTTTGATCCATTTGATTTTTCATAGATATTATATCGTTATATACTGATCGTTTACTGCAAACATTGTACCACAATGCTTTAGTTGTTGACATGATTAATGAAAATGATATGTTGATGAATGTGGCAAAATACTGATTCCGACATTCTTGGCACATATATTACAGGTTTTCATAAATATGTTATCGTTATACATTGAGCATCTATTGCACAACAATATACATGAATGATTTAGTTGCTGACCTGGATAACGACATGTTCATGATCTTGGCAAAGTATTGATTCTGATAATCTTGGAAAAATACTGATTCCAATAATCTTGGCAAAATACTGATTTAGATATTGGCACGTATAGAACATATCTGGGAATTTTCCGTATTAGATAGAAAGCAATATTTACTTTAAATTTTACGTCATGCAAACACGATATGTCCTCGTTGCCACTGATGGCGACCAGGCAAACTCCAAAGAACACTGTAATCTAGGACGAGTTAAAAGATCCAAAAATTCTCTTTTCCTTCTTATGCTTTATACTGCTATTCTTCATGTAGGGTTTCGTAAAGAGTGAATGATGTATGTATAATCAAGATAATTGATTTATAATCATTGATATTTATAAATGATTAACGAAATCGGTACTGATTTATTGTTACCACCATACTGGTTTCATACAATTATAACTGTGATAACAAAGTTAAATGTTCTTTAGAAGCTCTTTAAATTCACAAACTATATAATGAACAAATAATTCTTAGAGTAAATTACGTTTTTCGTCCCTCTGGTTTGTTAAAAATTGTGATTTCCGTTCTCGTGGTTTAGAAATTGTGGTTTTCGTCCCTATAATTTGTAATTTATTGCTATTTCCATCCCTAAAATAATTCTTACTTTTTTAAGTATAAGGGACCAAATTAATAAAGAATTGTAAACCATAAGAACTGAAACAACAATAAGTTATAAATCATAAGGACGAAAGAAGCAATGCATTACAAACTATTAGAACGAAACCTTAATTGCTAAATCACAAGGGAAAAAATCGTAACTTTTAACAAACTATAGGGACTAAACGTTAATTTACTCTAATTCTTATGATATATCATCTAAAGTGTAACTGGGTGAATATTTTTACAACTAATGAGTACGAAATCTTGCAAAACGTAATCATATTTAATTTCAAATTCTACATTTAGGTTCATTATCTTCAAAGTCAGACTTTAGGATCGACTATACACTTGTCACTGTATTATATAATTTTACTGCTTATATCATATATTCTTGTGATATATCATATAATGTCTAATCGACGAATATCTTAACAGCTAATTAGTTCGAAATCTTGCAATCACAATCTTCATGATTCTATGTTAGATTCAGTATATTCAAAGCCAGACTTTTAAAGATCAGTTGTACACTTGTCACTGCCATACTTGCCACTAACGACGATTTTCCTTTAAATTTTCCCGGAATCGATCAATAGCCCGGTGGATACGATGGGGCTCGTCTTCGCACGCTTACTGATATAGATTCTAGATACTGGCACAATGCCAGCGTTGGACAGTTGTCCCGTGGCCGCATCCTTCCTCCATCGATTTAACAATTCTTTAGATATAAATTTTATTTCCTCGTGTAACAATACTAATTTCGAGCCAAATATAAGTTTATTTAATGAGTTAAATG